GTGGTAGACACTGCAGGCTGTTGACAGGCTCTTCTCTTCCTGCAGAGTAGGGTATGGATGCTAAGTTCTCCGTTTTCCAGCATCTCTTGTATTTCATGTGACTTTGTGATTAACTGTCTTGAATTGAATGTGAGCAGAAATGATTTATACCACTTCCAGTCCTGGCCTATAAGTGCTTCTCAAATTCTTTGTCTTTTTCACTTCCCTCATCATCCGTGGTGGCACAGATACCCTGGGTCTCTGACTGTTTGAAGTCAGGCATCTTGATCCCACTGCCAAGGCCAGTCCTGTTAGTTGTCTCTGGACTGTTTTGTGTGAATAAATTACATACTTCTGTTGTTGTTGTTGGTTCTGAACCATTTCATTTGAGGAATTTAGCCTGCTGTATCAAAGTAAAATAGAGGGCAGATTAATTGGTAGAGACCTCTATCACTAAGAAGGGAGATTGCCATTATCTTTGAGAGGTAAGGAGTTTCAGGGAGAGAGGGAGAGGGACAGAAAGCAAGCAAACTCCCACTCCCCAGTAAAGTCCAGAGCAAAGCCCCCACCACAAGTGATGGGAACCCAGATGCTTGGGCCACCACCAGCTGCTTCCAAGTGTGCACGCCGGACTCAGGAAAGAAGCCATGATTTAAATCTAGGCACTCTGATGTGAAACATAGGTGTTCCAACTGGAGTCTTACCATATAGGCTCACACCCCTGCTGAAGACATTTAATGTTAATCAGAATTTTTATTTTATTAAGATAATGATCGAATGAAAACTAAAATCCCATAAGCCTTCTTATTGCAGTAATTAAAAACAAACAACTAAACTTCATTTGAGATAGAACGAGGCATAGAGACACAGACAGCACTTCCATCTGATGATTCATAGCAGGCTTCAAGTGCCAGCTATGACTAAGACTGGGCTAGTAGGGCCAGAGCCAAAAGCTGAGAATTCAATCCAGATTTCTCATATCAGTGGCAAGAACTCAGTTAATTACCTCACAGGACCTACACTATTGGGAAGTTGGAGCCAGGAGCCAGAGCTCTGAATCCAATCTAGACACTCTGATGGAGGATGCAAGCATCTTAACCACTGGGCTCAGTACCAGCTCCACACTTAGTTATATTTTTTAAAATAAAAAAAAAAATTACTTATCTCCAACCTTAGTTTTAAAGGTGACATGTTTACGAAGCAGGCATTTGGAACAACTCTGTGCCATACAGGAGTGCTTGGATTTGAGTCCTGGATCTATGCCTGATTCCAGCTTCCTGCCTAATGTATACCCTGGGAGGCAGCAGGCAAGTAGTTGGATTTCTGAATTGAATCTTCAGTGCCATTCTTTGAACTAGCCCAGAACTGGCTTATGTGGATATTAGAGTAATGAACCAGCAGAGGGGAGATACCTGTCTGTCTGTCTGTCTGTCTCTGTGTCTCTGTCCTTCAGATGTATATAATATTTAATGACATATTCAAAAATTTTACTTAAAAGCTATTCATTTATTTGAGGGGTGGAGGAGAAAGAGAAAAAAAGGAGAGACAGAGAGACACCTTCCATTTACTGGTTCATTCCAGCGATGCCCATGATGGCAAGGGCTGGGCTAGGCTGAAACCAGAAGCCAGGAGCACTATCCATGTCTTGGGACATCCTTTGCTTCTATTCTTAATCCATTGGCAGGAAGTTAGCTTAGAAGTAGAGTTTGTAGGACTTGGATAGGCCTTCATGGGAAATGCTCACATCACAGTTGGTCGCTTTACTTGCTACACCACAATGCTGGCCCTTCAAACAACTTTTAGAAGATAGATGCCAACAGCTATAAGTTAACTTCCTCACTGAAGCTTTAGATTGTATTGTGTTATCTCTATCTAAACACCTGATCTTTAATCAGAAACCTTTCATCTTGTGCTTAACTGCTTGCTGTCTGATCCAGATGCAATAACCCTTCGGTTGCTTATTACCCAGTTGCTAATTACTTTTCATCTACAACCATCATTTATTTATACAGTAAGTATATATTTACTGAGGCTGTTATTCACACTGGGCACTCAGTTAATACCTGGAGCTATAAAAGTAAGAAATTACTGCTCTTCTCAAGGAATTAATGATTAAATGCAAGACATGGATATGTAATCTTAAGTGCAACCAGGTGTGAATAAGAAGGAGTACAATAAGCAAGTCTTTCCGTGAAATTTCAGTTAAGTTTTTAACATTTTTTATGGGTTTACTCGTAAGCATCTTTTAGTTGTTACATGAAATATGAATTAGTTTGGGAATTTTTATTTCTAATTATGTTTTTAATTTTCTTCTGATGTATGAAAAAAACTACTAACCTTAGATATGTGTTTGTAATGCACTACTTAATGAAATTATTTTATTCATGTTCATTTTAACATTTAATATTATTTAATATTCATAACCATGGCCTTCATTTTAATATTTAAATATAAGTATGTAAAATTATGTTGAATAGTGTCAATAACACTAAGCCTTCTTGACTTGTTCCACGTTTTAAAAAGAGGGCTTCTAAATAATTAATAATAAAAGTAGTTTTGATAATTCTACTTTGAGGAATGAGTGTTTCCTTGTTTTGCTTTATTTACTGAAAATAAGTTAGATTACAATAGTCCTCAAGGGTCACTTTGCATGCTTGTTTCTTACCCTTTTACAAGAACAGAAACATAACTATTAGTCTCTCCCACACTACTTAACCACTAACACTAAGACATTTAGAACACATTGGGCAAGGAGTCAGTGACTGGGGCAGAGAAGGTAAAGTGGTTGCAAGGGCCGATTTGAGTTCTGGATATTCTGCTTCCAGTCCAATTCCTATGAATATGCCTGAGAAAAAGTGCCATCTTTAGAGGCCCCAGTGCTAGAAATATGCTACCCATACAGGAGACCAGATGGACTTCTTGGTTCTTAGCTTTGCCTGGGCCCAGATGGGTATTGTGCCCACTGGGAGAGTGAGTCAGAGAACAGAGGATTTCTCTCTCCCTCTCTTACTCTGTGACTGCGTGTGATTCTCCCTGTCACTCTGCCTTTCAAATAACATAAGTAAATATTTTTAAAATAATAAATAAATAAATAAATAAATAAAAGCCAGGAGTTGGGAGGTTCATGTGTGTCTCCTATGTAGATGACAGCAATTGAATCCATGTTCCCAAGTTGAAAAAATAGATATTGTATGACTGCCAAGTTTCCTAAATAAAGCCCCAAATTCTATCATCACATAATGCCAGTAATCATTTTAAAGCAGAATTTGAACATAAATTTCAAAATTCCGCTAAAGAAAAAATATCATATATTGATATAATGTTTTAAAAGATTGTTAGTAATATTGACAATAAGATTGAGTCTTTTCTGTACCTAATGTGATAATAAGCACAAAAGAAACACATGCAGGACTGATGTTGGACAGCGCTGAAAGAGCCTCCACCTGTGACACCGGGCACTGACTTGTGTCCTGGCTGCTGCTGGTCCAGCTCCCTGCCGATAAGCCTGAGAAAGCAGCAAGAGATGGTCCAAGTGCTTGGGGGCACCCGTATGGGAGACCCAGAAGAAGCTTTGTACTCCTGACTTTGGCCTGGCCCATTCCTAGCTGTTGCAGCCATCTGGGGAGGGATCTAGCAGGTGGAAAACCTCTCTTTCTCTCTTTTTACCTCTATGTGTAATGCTGCCTTTCAAATAAATGAAAAGGATATGTTTAAGAAAATCTGTGTAAAATAGTAATACAAACATGGTGGCACTTGAGTAGAGACAAATCATTGATCATTGGGAAGAAATAAAGAATGTTAAGAACTGAGCTGATTATTGATTTCCTGTTCTGTTTCCTCCCCTGTTCCATTCTCCAAACAGTTGAGCACAGTCATGCTTATTGATGACCCCTGGAGAATCAGACTATCTTACTGGGGTATCATGGGAAAATTATTTTTCACTTTTTGCTATTCCATATTTCATTTTGGTACTACAAATATGTTTTAGTACCCTGTGATTTATTCTAAGTTCAACAGAGACAGTGGAGGAAGCAGTGAGAATACCAAGAAGCCCTTTTAGGTATACAGATTGTAGTATTCTTTTTAAATATATTTATGTTACTGTTTCCCCTTTTAGTATATAATTTTTAAAAAAAAAGTTTATTTGAGAAAGAGAACTTCCATTCACTGGTTTGCTTCCCAGATAGCCACAACAGCCAGAGCCAGTGATTCAGTCCATGTCTCCTCTGTAGTTAACTGGAGCCTAATCACTTCAGCCATTGCTGATGCTTTCCAAAGTCTGTGTTTCAGGAAGCTGGAATCAGGAGCCGGGAACTGAGCCCTGGTACAGACCTGTTCCTGGTGGGGGAGGAGTTGGGAAGGAAGTGGGATTATCACTGTAGAACCTTACCCATGATATCATGAAATCTGTTTTCTTCATGTTAATAATTTTAATACGTAAGTATAAATTTTTGTCTGGGCACAAAGCACTCTCATGCTTCTCCACATACTTCCTTTTATGGTTCATAAAGAATGTAAGTCACAGTGGAAAAGTATTTAACTACAAGGAAAGATCTTAAGCAAAGCAAAACAGCTTGTTCCATGCAAGTGTACACCTGTTAATCTTCAGGCATAGTTTAGAACGATCATTGAAGGTATCTGTAGCATAGTTGTTTGGAATTAGCAATTTCAGCTCAGTAATTTGCTCTCATTAGTGGTAATCTTGAGCATTATATCAGAGTATTTCTTTCAGAGACAGCACTGACTCTGTAATGTTCTTGAAGACTGAAGCTGAGAGTCCTAAATCCTTCAAAATAGTTATTCCCTTAATGATATTCATTGCAGGGCCTTTTGAATGTTAATTAATTTTATTTATGTGAGTAATTTATTTATAAACAAAGTAAGATTCTCTAGAAGATAGAATAATTTCACACTTTTCGTTTACTGTGTGAATTTGTTTTTAATACAGTTTATCAGCAGCATTTATCTTCCAGAAAGAGGCTTATTTTACAGTTTAAATTTATTTGCTTTCTGAACTGTAGGTTGCTCTTGGCAGAACAGACACTGAAGACTTGGACCTCTATGCTACATCTCGGGAGAGGCGATTTCGTTTATTTGCCTCTATAGAGTGTGAAGGACAGTTATTCATGACTCCCTATGATTTTATTTTGGCTGTTACAACAGATGAACCCAAATGTAAGTATATTTCAAACTTTTAAAAATAATGTTATAAAATATAATTGTTAATCTCAAGAACTGTGAGATAGCATTAAATAATTAGAACAATGAAGCAAGTAATGCATATTTCAGAATGCATAATGCAATGCAGTGTTATCAGGCTAACATTTCTTATAAACTTTTGTATTTCTTATCTTTTCAGAAGCCTTTAATTGTTCCTTTCTTACTATATAAAATTTAAATTTAAAAGATTCTTCTTATGTTCTTTGTGAAAAGCTCATAATCTGCCTGCTCCTTCTAATACCTGGCCTTTACAGCATAGCTGATAGGACAGAGTTTGAAGCTATCTCTGGGCAAGAATTCTGTCAATATTTCTTCTGTATTTGTCATTGCACCTACAGTGTGGATATAGGATAGTTATTTCTCACTTTTGCTTGCATTAGAGCAGTGACTCTCAAACATTTTGGTATTCAGGCATATTCTTAGAAAACCTCATAGAAGCTGTCTTAAGAGAAGACATCTAGATTTCCATTTGCTTTTATAGTTCAACTACTTTTAAATCTTTTTTTTAAGAATATAAAACCTGCATTGCAGATATAGGTAGCAGGAAGAGAACAGGTACAGATATAGATAGTAGGGTAGGATGTTTTAAAGCCTTTTCAGTTAATTGTAGATATCTTTCTTTGATACTGTATCATAAGTTAGCCAATGATAGTTCAGCTTTCAAAAAGCTAAAGGTATTGATGAAGTATTGAGTACTACCCAGTTTTTGGCTGATGTATAGCAGTAGGGACCAAGTTTGAGATAAGAATCACTATTTCAGTTTGATGTAGTATGTATTTGAAAAGCTTTGGACATGAATGGAGGCCTTTGAATCTGTTTTTGAAATGTTCTTTTAAATTCACTGAAAGATAATTCAGTAAAAGTCATTTTACCATTTAATTAGTTGTTTGCATATCTGCTTGCAACTGTTACACACAAAAAAACTTAATTTCAACTACAGTACTATAGCAGTTACTGCCATTTTGACTCCAGAGGCAATGATATGCTGATCCCAACCTAAAAATAAACCCTTAATACCTGAGCTAATATTCTTGAAAACTTTTAAAAAGATATACTTATTTATTTGGAAAATCAGAGTTACAGAGACAAGAGGGGAGATCTTCCATATGCTGGTTTACTCCCCAAATGGTTGCATGGCCTGCTTCAGGTCCTGTGGAATCAAGGAGCCTGGATGTTCATCCTGGTCCCCCATGTGGATAGCAGGGCCCCATACAGTTGTGCCATCTCCCATGGATTTTCCCAGGCTGTTAGCAAGGAGCTGGAACACAAGAGGAGTACCCAGCATTTGAACCAGTGACCATATGGGTTTCTGGCAACTTTTGCTGCTATGTCATAGAACCAGCCCTGAAAGCTGAATGGGAAGTGGAGCAGCAAGGACATGAACCAGCATCCGTGTGGGATGCTGGAGCTGCAAGCAGAGGATTAGCTTGCTAAGCCTTGCCACTGGAATTAGGCTCTTATTTTAAGGAACTTAAAGGCTATGATAAGGAACTGGAAGGCTGCGATGCTTAAGTCACTTAAGGTGAAAAGTCCACATTACATCAATCAACTAAATAAAAATATATGCAATATTTTTACCTATACTTATGAGGGTCTTTGGTATATACTAAAGGAGCCATAAATCCCCTGTACTTAAAAGGACATAACATCCAGAAACAATAAACTCCAAGGCAGAAAGAACTGCATTTTGTTTTTTTTAATAGCTGAGTAGTATTCCATGGAGTAGATGAACCAAAGCTTTCTTATCCAATCTTCTGCTGATGGGCATTTCGGTTGCTTCCATGTTTTCGCAATTACTGATTGTGCTGCAATGAACATAGGGATGCATGTTGGTTTGTCGTAAAACAGGTGTTTTGGATATATTCCTATTCTTTGTGGCTAAATGGGCACAACTGGAAACTATAATGCTAAGGGAAATGAGCGAATCCCAAAAGATTAGATACCACATGTTTGCCTTGATTTAACCTGTAATTTTTTGTTTGGTTGTTTGTTATTTTCCGAACCTGTCATTGATACTGTCTCAACCCAGATGTTTCGAAGAATGGAACTTGCATTATTTTTAACATATTGTTTACCCAATACTATGTCAATTAATTCCATAATGTTGTATAATGATACTGAGGCCTTGTTGGGGCTTTTAACTGACTGGATCTTTACTCTGTTAGACTATCTTCAGACCATAGAAGGTCTCCCCAAGAGGCCACTGAACTTATCTGGACAATAAGACGCTGAACTTTATGCTAGGCATGTGTTTGCAAGCAATGAATCTCAACTGAACTTGAACTATGGTTATGCAACAAGGTGGAGGAATCCACCATGGGGGGAGGGGTATGGGAGGGGTGGGGGGGGATCCCCAGCGCCTATAAAACTGTACTACATAATATAATGTAAGCAACAATAAAAAAAAAAAATTAAAAAAAAAAAAAACTCCAAGGCAGGATGTAGTCATTTGGCACATACTGCATACTCAGTACTTCTTAAAGGGATGTATGTTTTTAGACTGTCAGATGTTTTACATTGAATAATTTTTGTCAAACTTAAGTTATTCTTTAAGTAAAATTTTATAATCTCATATTTTGAAAAATGTGAAGTCACTAATTTTTCACTTTCTCATAGTATGTGCTATGGAAAGCTCAGTGTTGGATCTTACTCTTTTGAAATAAATTCTTGGTAATTCTGCTAATAGATGGTATTCCAGAACTGTGACTTCTGGGAGAAAAAAGGGTCTCTATTACAAAAAGTGCACACAGGATATTTTACAACCACAGTCTCAGTTAATTTCTTGCTGGTGTTTACAAAACATAATTAAATTGAAAAAGATTAACATACTTTCAATAATTGCTTTGAAAATGTGGGAAAGTGCCCAGTGCAATAGTGTAGTTGTTAAGGCCCTCACCTTGAACATTCCAGGATCCCATAGGGGCACAGGTTTTAATCCTGGCAGCCCCACTTCCCATCCAGCTTGCGGCCTGTGGCCTGGGAAAGCAGTGGAGGATGGTCCAAAGCCTTGGGACCCTGCACCTCTGTGGAAGACCTGGAGGAAGCTCCTGGCTCCTGGCTTCAGATTGGCTCGGCTCCAGCCATTGCGGCTGCTTGGGGAGTGAACCATCAGATGGAAGATCTTTCTGTCTCTTCTCCTTTCTGTATATCTGCCTCTACAATAAAAATAAATATTTAAAAAGAAATAAAAATTAAAAATTAAAAAAGAAGAAAATGTGAAAAAATACTGAAAAATGCTGTGTGGGCTAAATATTAAATCAGATATGTAGAAGAGTAGCATAATGAGATTTGAAAGACTTGTATCTATCTTTATGTATAAATGTATGTATATATGTACATATGTAGTCTTCTAAGAGACAAAGAGAGACGGATTTCCCGATCTTGTGATTGCTTCCCAACTTCCCCCAAAGTTGAGGCTTGGATTCCTTGTGTGTCTCCCACTTGGGTTTCAGAGATCTGAGTGTCTTAGCCATCACCTGCTGCCTCTCAGGGAACCAGCACCCACATGGGATCCTGGCTCATACAACGCGAGGACTTGGCACTAGGCTATCATGCCGCCCTCTTTTAATGTTAAAATGAGTTATTATATCGCCCATAAAAAATATAGAAAGTTGCATAGCAGAAATGTCTTTTATAATTCTAAATGTGATATATTGTTAATTATATAGAAATGGCCTCATTGTCCTGTAGGAAACAATTATTGGCTATCATCATTGTAATGTAGCTGAAATACTATTTTATCAGGTTTTTAAGACAAATTACATTTATTTTATAGGAAATGCAAATTTATAGAGGAGAGACGGAAAAATCTTCCATCTGCTGGTTCACTCCCCACGTTTCCACCATGGTTGGAGTTGAGCCAATCCAAAGCTAGGAGCCGGGAGCCTCTACCTAACCTCCCACGTGGGTGCAGGGTCCAAAGGCCTTAAGCCATCCTCCACTGCTTTACTCAGGGAACAAGCAGGAAGTGGGATGGGAAGTGGAGCAGCCAGGTATATGAACCAGCGTCCTTAGGGGATCCTAATGCTTAAGATGAGGGTTAGCTAATTGAGCCGCTGTGCCAGGCAGGCCCCACCTATCAGTTTTCTAACATCCGTGTTACAAAATTAATCACATCTATTCTCACACATTATTTATGAATTAGATATTTTAGATATTTACAGTGGTCAAATCTGAGCAAAGGAAACAGCAATACTGATTAGACATTTGACCATACATGGCAGGATTAGTAAGTTTTTGAGATCTTCATGTGTGTAAGAAGGAAGTAGAAAAAGAAAGTGATGTGTGTGGTGTGTGACTAGGGCATTTGTTCCTGAGAGGTTTCGTTACCTGTTACAGGGACACAGAGCGAAGTGCAGGATGGACGCTTCCCTCTCACTCGACTTGTTCTCTCTCTTGCTCTTTGCTTGCTTTCCTTCTCATTCACCGTAGAGAGATCTGACCTGTGAATTTTACTCATAAATATCATGTGCAACACTCTAAAATTGCCATGTCTTTTAATATTATTTATATTCTAGCATGAATATTTAAATATACCATTATTTTTGCTTTTAAGCACATAGAATGTTTAACAAACTTACTCTATAAATCCAAAAAAGCCCCAAATTAAAATAATATGGTTATGAGAAAGCGTTTGCTAATCCACTAGTATTATTTTTTGTAAGTAGTTTGCAGTATAGCAAAGAAACAAATGGCAAAAATAAGGTCCTCTTCTAGATTTAGGTCTTGAATTCAGAATTACCTTTGCTTTTGGACATAAAATCTGACTCATGAGTTACAGTTGTAGATGGTTAGTGGATATGGATATGTTACATGAAGTATTTATCATCTGATTATGTCATGTTTATTTTAGGTGCTAAAACATGGAAGTCACTTTCCAAACAGGTAAGTTAAAGCTGTTGGTATATATATATATATATGCATGCATAGACATGTACAGATGTCATATTATATATATGTAAGTATATATAATATATATGTAATTTCTCTTGCAACTTAAAACACATAAAGGTAGCACTTTTCTACCAACAAAACTTTCAGAAAACCAAAAAGTAGACAATTCCAAAGATTGTTACAGATGTAAATCAGTGTTGCTAAATTAATATGTAAATATAAGTTTGTGTTCCTATTTTGGAAAACAATTTGCCATTTTCCAGTAAAATTAAAGATACATGTATTCAGTGTCTATTAATTCAGTTTTTAAATTTACAACAGTGCATACACATGTACCTAGTATGTTCAAAATGAATATATTCATACAGTGTATATACCTAGAGAAATTATTGCTTATAGACATTAGGAATGTCCATGGATTGTTCCTGATGGTCAGAAAGAAACTAAAAACCAAACAAATGTAAATATATCAGTAGTACACTTAGTAAATAAATTTGCTATAATCATAATAATTTGGTATATTTATATCTATATTATGTATATATTTACATTCTTATAAAAATGCTTAGTTGGCAAATTTCGATAGTTATAGCAATTTCATATATTGTTATATTTAAATATTATAGTATAAACATTGAATTATGGCAGTACATGGGAGAATCTCAGTGAAACAGTGCCAAACAGACAAATCACAAGAATGTAAAGTATAATTCCATTTGTATAAAGTCCAAAAATGGTAAAATAAATTACATTATTTCAGGATACTTTCATATAAAACTAAGAAATGATTAATGTAAAATATAAGCTATCTAGGAGAGGCTCAATAAATCATAGAAATTGCTTCTGATGTTCTATTTTTTAACTTAATTATTTCTGCTTTTAAATTGTACATATACTTAATTTGTATTTTCATATGTATGATAGACTTCATTTTAAAAAAAGAATAAAAGAGCAACAACAAAGCAAAGAAACTCTTTAACTAGTTACAGGTAATCCTCCAAAATTTTCCAGCAAATGTTAAATTTATTTGTGAAACTTTAGAGGCGTTCTCTTTACAACGCTATATAGAACTGATATATCTTCTAGTACAGTTGTTCCCCTGCATTTTATTTTATTTTACTTTAAGATTTTTTTATTTTATTGGAAAAGCAGATTTAGAGAGAAAGATCTCCCATCTGCTGGCTCACTCCCCAAATGACCATAATGGCAGAGCCAAGCTGATCTGAAGCCAGGAGCCAGGAGTCTCCTCTCGTTCTCCCTTATGGGCTCAGGCCCCATAGCTTTGGATTATCCTGAGGCCACAAGCAGGAAGCTGGATAGGAAGTGGAGCAGCTGGCACTCAAACTGGCACACATATGTCATCCTGGTATGTACAAAGGGAGGATTAGCCAGTTGAGCCATTGTGCCGGACCCTTCCCTGCATTTCAAACCAATTGTGAGCTCCTACTTTTTCTTTACGTAGTACCACAGAGCCACCTTAAACAACAGATATTTATTTATTTTTTTTTTTACAGTTCTGGAGGATAGAAGTAGTAGAATATAAACAGATTTATTGCTGGATGTAAGATCAGTGGATCAAAATTAATTGCCTCTATATCAACAATAGCAATTAAAAACTATCAAAAAGATACATTCTGCAATACTTAAGAATTGTTAAGAACTTAAAAGTGCATCTAAATAGATGTTAATAAGTTACATTTAATGATAAGAGTAAATAGATTATCATGGTCCTTGATGTAACAGCCTATTTCATAAGTATATGTGTTTCCTACAGAATTATTTATAAGCTCAGAAAATTCAATAAATTTTAAAAATTCATCTTGCTGAGTAAAGGTCCCAAAATGTCTAAGATAATTGGGAACATGTAAGAGAAAAGAAAAATAAAACATTAAAATGGAACAAACTAATCTGATACATAGATACTAATAATAGGATTATAATAAATAAAATATTTTATCATTACAAATATTTATTAAGAATCTAAGACAATTTAATTTTGAATCCAAAAATAGATTCAAGCCTACGTGGGAAGATCTGTAACTCACTGGAGAGGGCCTGGCACTGCGGCGCAGAGGGTTAAACCACTACACTCACCATCACATATGGGTGTTGGTTCAGGTCCCAGCTGCTCCAGTTCTGATCCAGCTCCCTGCTAATGTGCCTGGAGAACCAACAGAACATGGCCTAGTATTTTAGTCCCTGCCACTCATGTGCAAATCCCACCTACTCACCTGTTACACCTGTTTAGGGAATGAACTAGCAGATGGACGACCTCTTTCTCATTTTTTTAAAAATAAATTTATTTGTATTAGAAAGGCAGATTGACAGACAAAGCTTTCGTCTGCTACTTCACTCCTGAAATGGTCACAATGGCCAGAGCTGAGCTGATCCGAAGTCAGGAGCCAGGAGCTTCTTTCAGTTCTCCCACATGGGTGTAGGGTCCTGAGGCTTTGGACCAGCCTCTACTGCTTTTTCAGGCCACAAGCAGGGAGCTGGTTGAAAGGTGGAGCAGCCAGGACACAAATTGTTGCCCATATGGAATGCTGGTGCTCTTGCAGGTAGAGGAATGGTCAGTTGAGCCAGTGCTCCAGACCCTGTCTCTTCATTTCTCTGTCGTTCTGCCTCACAAATAAATAGATAAGTATTCAAAAAAAATCACTGGAGAAAAAATCAGCTGTAATTCAGTCATAAATATTATAATAATAGTTTCCATGTTGGGGTGTTTGGCTTAAGTGGGCAAGCCACTGGTTAGTATAGTATCTATGTTCAAATCCCAGCTTCCTGCTGACGTATACCGTGTGAAGCAATGGGTGATGGCAAAGTACCTGAGTCCTGGCAACTAACATGGGAGACCCACACTGAGCAATCAGATATCAACTTCGGCTTGGCTCAGATAAAACCATTGCAGGCATCTGGGGAGTTAGCCAGCAGAGAGAAGCTCTTTCTTTTGTTTGTTCTCTCTGCCTTTCAGATGTAATGAAATGAAATAAAAGTACAGTGATGTGAAGTAAAATAAAATCTTTTATTTATTTTTTTCCCTATGAGTCAGTGAAGAATTTAATAAAATAAACCATTTTGAAGAAATGAAAATACAAACAAAAATATCAGAATATCCATGAGTTGCAGCAAAAACAATATTAAAAGGGCTATTGATCTTAAAATTTGCATGAATATTGCCTTATATCAGAGAGAAATATGGTATTTGTCCTTTAGGGATTGACTTACTTCACTGGGCATAATGGTCTCTTGTTGGGACCATCTGGTTGCAAATGGTAGAATTTCATTCTTTTTAATGGCAGTACAATATTTATAAGGAAGGTAAAATTATGTTTAAATTCACCAACATATGCAAAAGCTTGCTTTGAATGGATTAAGTTCTTATCTGTGACAAAAATTCTTGAAGAATAAAAACAAAGATGAGGAATATGACAACACAAAAGGATTTTTGGCAAATTATACTAATAAACATTAAAGCTTGCAATAGCAAACATTAATGTCAGCCATTAAGTAAATCTTAAAAAAAACTTTTTTGTTTTCAGGTGAATGAAATATTGATACAGTCAGTATAAATAATATCTCTTTTAGGTCTATAATGTCATAAGGTTTGTGAAGAGAACTACTGTTAACAGACAACTATTGTATTGCCATTCAAATGAAAATGGAAATAATGGAATATTAAGAATAAGGAAACAATATTTGTAGCAACAGCAAAGTATTTTGTAGAGAATTCAAATAAAAATTTCAAGTAAAACTGAAGTATAGCTCATTCTCAGATTATAATTAATTTTTCTTTTCTATTGTTAACTAATTTTACCCTTAGGAGATTAATATAGTAAACAAGTAATATATACTTAACTAACCTATCCCCTCAAATGCTTACAGCAGTGGGGGCAGAGGAGTACCTATAGCCAGAAACCAAGAACTCAGTGCACCTGTGGCAGAAACCGAGCTTTGGCCATCACCACCGGCTCCCAGGGTGTGCATTAGCAGGCAGTTGGAATCAGGAGCTGGAGCTGGAGCTTAGCATTGAACCCAGTTATTCTCATATGGTACATAGGTGACTTGACTGGTTCTTACTGCCAGGGCAAAAGCTTGCCCCTAATGATCTAACTTTTTGGCCTTATTTCTTTAAGAAAATTGTGTTAATCTTTTGAAAGGCAGTTAGAAAGAGTCAGAAATTGAATTTTATCCAGAAATATTTATTTGGTCCCCGTTAGTAATAATGTAGCATGCTGCTAACACGTAGCACACCCAGCATTAGAGTCATGCTGCACTGCTTTACAGGCGCAGATCACACAGGACTGCCTTCATGTCTCAGCTGCAGCGCTTGGGAGACTTCAGGCTGCCTGCCTTTCAGAATGTACTGGCTACAAATCCAGGGGAGTCCCACACCCTCCTGTTCTAACTCCTAGAACAAGTAGAGAACTCCTCAAAGTGCTATACTTAGGAATTTTTAAGTGTTTCTTTTCTTTTCTTTTTATTTGAGAAAGAGACAGTGAGAGAGAACAGAGGGATCTTCAGTCTACTGATTCACTCCCCAACTTGCCTACAACAAGCCAGGACTGAGTAGGGCTTAACCCAGGATCCCCCACAATGGCAGCAGGGACTCAGCTACCCGAGTCAAGGCTTGCTGCCTTCCACACCTGCAGTAGCAGGGAGCTGGATCGGAAGATGAGGAGCTGGGACCAAAACTATTCCCTCTGATATGGAATGCAGGCATCTGAGTAGTGTTGTAGCCGCTGGGCCAAACTCCTACTCCAGGGCTACACTGTAGTCTTACTGAAAAGAATTTAGAACTAATTGAGAGAAGAAAACACGCAAAAGTTAGCTTCGAGTTTTCAGTCTCAAGCTCTAAGTGAATTTAACATGCAATAGATTAAAGTGGGTAACATGGAAATAGTTAAAGTGGATAAAAGGTAAGTTAATATTTATACAACATAAATGGCATAGATCAAGTCGTACAAAATTATTCAAATATTTTTAAATTTTTTACTCCAACAAAAATATTTCAGTAAATATCGAAGCTTTTCATCATTATTCATACCTGGGTTCTCACCTCTGTGCCACTGCTGTTCCAGACAGACATTACTATCGCCTGATGCCGGTAGGCGCTTAGAATGCAGTTATGACATTTTCAAGAAAATGCATGCAAAAGCGTATGCAAGTTCAGGAAATCCATAAGTCCTTAAACATGCTGCTCCTGCTTTTGGTTTTCCAGTGACTACAGTATTTTTATGCTAGCACAGCTTCGCAAAGATGGTCTGTAAATATCACAGGACATTTTTAGGTTCAACTGTATCAGAAAAAGTTGGTTTGGTCTTAAGTGTTTCCTAAATTTGAATATACATTAAAAATGACATAGAGACCTTTTTAAAAATGCAAACTCTGGTTCAGCTGGTGTGGAATAGGAACTAAGAGTGCTTCTCTTACAGGATCTCACATGATTTTCAGACTTCCAGGAACCAGACTTTGAATAAATGAGACCTTATCTAAATATAGAAATGGTTTATGTGGTTTTAAAATGTATTACCGGGCCCGGCGCAATAGTGTAGTGGTTTAAGTCCTCGCCTTGCACACACCGGGATCCCATATGGGCGCTGGTTCTAATCCCAGCAGCTCCCTGGCTGTGGCCTGGGAAAGCAGTCCAGGATGGCTCAAAGCCTTGGAACCCTACACTCATGTGGGAGACTCGGAAGAGCTCCTGGCTCTTGGCTTCGGATCGGCGCAGCACTGGCCATTGCGGTCACTTGGGGAGTGAATCATCAGATGGAAGATCTTTCTCTCTGTCTCTCCTCCTCTCTATATATCTGCTTTCCCAATAAAAATTAAATGATAAAAAATAAAAATAATAAAATGTATTACCACTAGCAGAGTATTTATTTCAAATTGTAAGATTAAGTCCTTTAATCATTTTTCTTCACAATTAACCAAAATACAGTTTTCACTTAATTATTTTTAACAATGTACCCAGAGCAAATTACAGTTGATTTAGTGCATCAACCATAATTCAAATGTTTATAGTCTTATGCAATTTCCTGCCAAAAGTGATAGTTTGATTTAAAAAATAAAGAAAGAAAACAAAAAGTAAAACAACAACAAAAAACCCTGGCTCAGGAGCAGTTAAAGTTTGCGTTTTTTGCTGAATATTTTGTTTTGTTTTAGTAATAGATTAAGTCTTCACCTATGGTGCCAGCATCCTGTATTGGTAGTGGCTTAAGGTCCTTGCTGCTTCACTTTCCATATAGCTTCCTGCTCATGTACCTGGGAAAGCAGTGGAGAATGGTTCAAGTCCTTAGGGCCATGCAGCCACGTGGGAGACTGGAAGAAGCTCCATGTTCCTGGCTTCAGGCTGGCCCAGCTCCAAGGCAATGCAGTTGTGACCCAGCAGGCAGAAGATTGCTGTGTCTCTCCTATTTGTGAATCTGCCTTTCAGAAAGAAAGAAGTAAATATTTTAAAAGTAGAGTAAAGAAAAGTTTGAAATAGTGTTCACTAACTCAATACCCCTGTCCTTCCACTATATCTGATGTCATCATTCTTTGAATCACTGTTAAAATGTTCTTCATTCCTTCTTCATATACTCTTTTGGTGGTTTATTTCTTCTACTCAAAACCTCAGGAAACAAAGCAGAGTCATGAAACCAAGTGATCATCTCAGATCATTTCCTTAATTACGAAATTAAACTTTTCCTGCAGCTTTCAGGAATCTGTTTATAACTGACTGTAGCACTTACACTGATCATCTTGAATACACTCCTCCAATATTAAATTTATCTGAAATTTTGGGTAGCTCCAGTTGAATTTCATATAGCATCTTTTTTATTTTGGTTTTGGAATGTGAACAATATTGGATTTTGTGGTTAATGAACCACAGATAACACAGCAGGATAGATTTTGCCATGTTTCAGGTCTTGAATATGAAAAAATTTTGCATAAATGCTGAAGTATGTTTTAATCTATTTTATAAGTAGTGTTTAACCTATTCAGCATTATGATATTTTCCATTTCAGGAATTAAATCAAATGCTCTCAGAAACACCACCAGTTTGGAAAGGGTCATCAAAATTGTTTCGAAATCTTAAAGAAAGAGGTAAGTTCTCCTATTATGTACTCATGTTGACACTAAATTATTCATACTATAAATATATACACATATGTATATTATCATTATACCTAAAATAAAATTATTATGTATAAATAAAGTGAAATAAAATTTAAGATTCAGCTGTTTGAGTTACTGTTTGCTGCCTTCAAGGGTATTCATTAGCAGGAAGCTGGATTGGAAGCATAGCTAGAACTCAAGCCCAGACACTCCAATATGGATTGTGGGCCTCCTCAACGGCATCTTAACTGTGGTACCAAATGCCTGTACCTAAAAATTAATTTTGAAATGCATATATTTATCTCCTTAAAATATTATTTAACAAGAGAATATTATGTGGTATTTTTTAAAGTGATATACAACATTTATAAAAATATGTATTTCATAGGCTGAGTTACACCTAACTATATTTATAGAATGCTGTGGGAATTAAGTGTTCTAATGCTTTTGAAGAATTTCACTTAAAATTGTCTTTTGGCTGAATTTGTAAAAAAAAAAAAAATCTAGTTGAGAGCAGGCATTTAGGCAGCAGCTAAAACAACACGCACTACACTGGCGGCCTGGGTGTGATACCCCCCCTCTGGGCACTGAATCTAGTTTGCCAACAGTGCAGATGCTTGGATTCAGCAGCTGATCGCTTAAACTAGTTGGGGCCCTTTCATCCATATGAGAGACCCGCATAGCGTTCCCAGCTCCCGGCAGAAGTCCCGGTACAGTCCCAGCCATCCCACACATCCCAGGGAGTCCAGCAGTGGACAGGAACTCACCTGCTCCCTCCTTCTGCCTATCAAGTTTTTTTTTTCAAAGAAGTCTAGTTGTCTATCTTATTCAGTCTTAAAGACTGCATTTTGTATGCTTAACGTTTATTTTAATTTTTGATTTTGAGTGAACTTAATTAAAAGATTAGTCTAACAGTTATTCAATTTTGTAATTGGCAGGTATTAAGAATCTAAAGTTTAATTTTAGCACTCTATTCTCCTTTCCTGTGAATTAATTTCTATAGATCTGTGCTACCAGGATAATCATGATCGGGGCTGTCACAGTTAAATAATTCTTGACAATCATATAAACAATGTATGGTAGTTATTACAGATTCTTTATGTTTAGCAGCATCTCCTGTGTATTCTACAAGTTAATTAGCAGTCAGTAAGATAAGAGGACAAAAAGCTCATTTTGGAATTCCATTTCCTTTTATTCCTCCTTGATTTGTGTGTGTATGTATGGGAGGGATCCCTACAAAATCAGAGTTTTGTATCTTTATATATATATATAGAAAATTCCAGATTCATTCTCCCATAACATTCAGGGAAATCAACCAGAACTATCTGTCTCTGGGTCACAATATTCTAGAACAAACAAAAGAAGGGAATGCTTTCAGGGCCTCCTGGATTGTTGCCTTCATCTCTCTAACAAACTGCCTGACGGTGAATTCTCTTCTCTTTGTTCAGTAGAAGAAGGGTAGCCTCAAAGAACAAAGACCAAAAAGAGCTTTAAAGTACATGATCTGATTATTTAAAGACTTTTTACCTTTTTACTGAAACATCAGATGAATTTGAAATAGATATAAATATTGTGGGCTTTTTCCTAGCTCTAATTGTCTCATTATTTACTTGGAAAATCAGCTTAGCCATTAACCTTAGTTTTGGCTGTCATGTCCAGGAGCAAAATATTGTAGTATCAAAATGTATATACATTTAATTCCAAATAAACTGCTAAAGTTTGTAAACATGGACTGTTGAGAATCTAGGATGCAACACACAGAAAGTGTAAGCTATTTACTTAAAAAGTTCTTACCACAATAAGCAGAGTTAACCAGTTTGGGATTTTTAATTTTGTTAAACTTATACTTTAAAGACTCATAGCAACAAGTTAAACTATACACATAATTTTGTTTCTTTCCCCAATATATATTAGAGCACTGCTAGAAATTTTGTTTGGGTTTCTATAGAGATGTGTAGAACAATTAAAATTAATTTTGCTGGTTTTGCTATGATTTTATAATGATTTAGTCTCATTTAAAATATTAGTATTCTTTATTCATAGTACTCATAGTATTTAGTACTGTTAGAATATTTTATTTTGATAAACATGAAAATAAAGTAATATTTTCTAAAATAACATACTATTTTTCTCCCAGGTGTGATTTCTTACACAGAATATCTGTTTCTTTTATGCATTTTAACAAGTAAGTGTACTCATCAAACATATTTCTAGATACAGTTTTCTTTTTTATACCAGAATCCTGGAAAACAGATCTTTCTTACAGTCTCTTACTAATGAAGATAACATTCGGTGTGCCCTTATTGGTCTGCAAAACTCATATCCAGATACGTACTGAGTACTGGCATGAGTAAGAAACTCGAGTATTGTGGCTTATGTTTTAGTTATAAAATACTTATGGACTGTAGATTTATTATCACATATCAGCTTTTTGGTTTTAATCTACATGAGAGGCCAAGTGTCAGGACATGCAATAGTTTGTAGATTTCCTAAGGCATTTACTTGTATTCTGCAAGAGCAGCAAGAGAGAATGAATTTAGCTAGTGAATCAATCATCCTCATCCTGAAACGTCTTTGTTATTCTGTTCCCTCATATGCCACAGTTCTTATGAAATATGCACACTGCTAAAAGCTTCAGTTGTCTTAACAGAGGATATTACATGTTACCGTCTACTGTTTATAGCTGCTTGTCCTTTCAGTTCCGTTCCCTGAGTTCCTGTCTCAGAGCTGGGAACTTCCTCTTCCCTCTGCTGTCCATGCTTTTCCACATGATTCTTATGATAAACATCGTTCAGAAATGCTGTCAAATGTGAGGACTTAGCAAAGTTTGTTTGATCCTTGTCTATAAAAGGGTTCCCTTTCCTGTTTCTCACTTTCCAGTGTTTTATTTTCTTCATAATACTTCAGCTGTTTGACAAGTGTTCACATGCCCCCGCCTGTCTCTGCACATTAGAATGCAAGGCTGAGAATGGCAAAGATTTTACCTTTTGTCTGAGACAAAACAAAACAAAAGAACCTAAAATGATTTCCAGCTATGGAGATAGTGGGACCATAGAGAAATCAGAATATCAGTAAAATTCTCATTAGAAGTTAATCTCAAAATACCTTATACTTCTGTGATCATTGAATCCAGGCCATATCGTTACTCTTCATTTAGTAATAAATGCCGTTTACTCCTGTGGCAAGAAGTTTTGTTGAGTGTGTTGTTTTTGTTCACACGTGTGTTTCACAATATCTTATTTTTACTTTTGATCTATTTTTTTCCTTCTGTACTTAAAACTGAAATGCAAGTGCTGAAGAACAAGTATAATGCATTTAGAAATGGGGTTTCCTGAGGTTCCTGCAGTCCAGAAGCCCGTAGTGATGGTTTAAGTCCAATCAGTGAGTGCTCAAATGAGAAATAGAGTGGGTACCAAGGAATATCACAGTAAGTTGTCGAAAAGTTACTTCTGTAACTTTGTCTTGTTAGCCAGAACAACTTTGGATACAGAATAAAGTTAAAAAGTACCAAAATTAGCAGAATAGTAAGCAAGAATAGGAACATTACTGATTAGGAAAGCCATTTGTTGAGATGGACAGGGTATAGGAAAAAGGTATATATAGAGAGAAATTTGTGCTTACTACAAAAAATGAGGCTCTTTGGATTCTGTGAAATTTCAGGTTTTTTTTTTTTAAGTCTTATTTCTTTTTATTGAAAAGACAGATTTACAGAGAGGAGAGACAGATCCTGTAACTGCTGGTTCACTCTCCAAGTGGTTGCAGTGGCCAGAGCTGAGCCTATCTGAAGCTATGACCCAGGAACTTGTTCCAGTCTCCCATGCAGGTGCAGAGTCCCAGGCTTTGGGCTATCCACTGCTTTCCCAGGTCATAGGCAGGGAGCTGGATGGGAAGTGGAGCAGCTGGGACACAAACCAGTGCCTGTATGGAATCCTGGCATATGCAAGGCATGGCTGTAGCCACTATGCTATTGTGCTGGGCCCTCTGTGAAATTTTCTTTGGAGTTCAGGATTCATCTATGGAAGTGTCTGAGGAGCTTCCGCTGATAATCAATGGAATATTGAGTATATTAGAACCAAGAAAAATGTGAAAAGATAATAGGCAGGAGGTGGGCTACATATCTGTAAGTCTATAGGTTTCCCTTTACGTATTACTACTTTATTTTCCCTTCCAGAATAGATAAGGTGTAACAAATATTTTATATATATTCAAGATCTTTGAAAGTTGATTGTGAGAGATGGTATGTATTCTTATTTCTCTCTCGAGTGAATGGTGATGAAAAATTATGTACCTAAAATACGTGCAAAAATTGAGTCTACATAGGGAATTTTCAGACAGCTGTTACTGGTTCAGAAAGTAGGGCTTCTATTTTGCCAAGTTTAAGATTTTACAACAGATAATAGCAAGTTTGTCTGGGATGGGGAGGGTTGGTGGAGGGGTTTCTTTAGAAATTTGTTGGTCAGACCCGGCGGCGTGGCCTAGGGGCTAAAGTCCTTGCCTTGAACGTGCCTGGGATCCCATGTGGGCACTGGTTCTAATCCCAGCAGCTCCACTTCCCATCCAGCTCCCTGCGTGTGGCCTGGGAAAGCAGTGGAGGACGGCCCAAAGCCTTGGGACCATGCACCCATGTGGGAGACCTGGAAAAGAAGTTCCTGGTTCCCAGCTTCGGATCGTTGCACTCACTTGGGGAGTGAATCATTGGACGGAAGATCTTCCTCTCTGTCTCTCCTCCTCTCTGTATATCTGACTTTGTAATAAAAATAAATGAATCTTTTTTTTAAAAAAAAGAAATTTGTTGGTTATCTCAAATGAAAATGGTCAGATGTTTTGCGAAAGGCTTTAAACACTGAGTTCCTCTTTGAAGGACACTTTCAAGTTTTCTTTGTGCTCTAGAGGTGGAAATAGGAAAGAGATTTAACCTCATTTCAAATTTCCTATTAAAGCAGTTTGTAGTATATGAGTCTTTCTTTTCCAGAAAAGCAACTGTGCTTTGTATTTTGGAGGAAATTAGGGATTATACTTGCACACTTTATTTTTTTATATGCCTATTTTTAATCCTCTAGAAGTCTAAGCCTAAACCCAGACAATACTCTTGAAATAGGCAATTTTTCATTGGTCATTTCACATATAACTCCCAGTGGTAAGAACTGATCCATTAATCTCATTTTAAATTTGTTTTCTTCCACTCTAAAAATATGGGAAATATTTCAAATGTTGTAAGCTGATTTTTTTCTTAAACAAACTGATATACTTCGGGTAAGAAAAAGAATGTGTATTTTTAGAAGAAAAGTAGATAAATTTTTGAGTGATATGCAACAAATATCACACAGATACTTTTAAATTTTATTATTTTATTTCTATTGTGCTATATGAGGGAACCTCAAAAGGTTGATGGAACAAATATAGTTTAAAATAGCTTTTTTTCACTATAAATGTTTTTGAAATCCACACATAGGAGTTTTTAAAATAATATACATTCTCTGTGAACTTTTTGAACATTCCTTGTAAGTAAAGCAGAAATATGGTACTTCTATGTAGCTTTCATTATATTTAATAGTATCGTATTGCTTTCAAATTTTTTATTAAAAATTATTTCTGGGCAGCATATAAATAACTTTGTAACTGACACATTTTATACTGTAAAATATAGTGGTTTTTGTTTGTTTCACTAATAATTTCTCTATTTTTTTTCTGGCAGAGCCACATGCTGGTTTTAGAATAGCTTTCAACATGTTTGACACGGATGGCAATGAGATGGTAGATAAAAAGGAGTTTTTGGTGGTATGTATCTTCTGTGTTGTATCTGGTCAGTAATTAAATACTGCTTACATGTGTTTATGCATCATTAGGATTTTGATATTTACATTATACAAGTATAAATTATATTTATTGCATAGAGATGATTATATTAGGGTAGGGTGTGGTGGCACAACAGCTTAACCTGCTGCTTGGCTTGATTTGCATCCAGTTAGAGTGCTTGGAATCAACTACTAACTCTGATTTTCATCCAGGGTTCTGCTAAAGAGCACCCAAAGAGGGAGCAAATGATGCCTTAAATATTGGGTCCCTGCCACCCATTTGGAGATCTAGAAGGAGTTCTTGGCTGCTGGCTTTGACCTGGCTCAAATTGAGCTGCTGTAAACATTTAGACTCTGAACCACTTGATTGAAGATATATCTCCCCCTCTCTCTCTCTTTAAAATACAAATAAAAAAATAAACATTTACAGAGGAATATGTTGACTTATAGCCAACTTGGACATGTAAAAATGTGTCAGTTATTTTCTACTAAGTTGGTAACAGGTAATCCTGAGATTGCATCTTCTCAGCATTCATTCCCTGCCATAACAGCCACCAAGTCACAACATTGCCATACGAAATTTTCTTCTTCTGTGTAAATTCTATACATATGTTACCCTTTTCCTCCACTCACTACTTCCTTATGTTCCAGTCTTGTCCCCACTTTCCTTTTCCTTCTTTTTTTGAAACAAGGGCTGAGAGTATTCTTCATTTTTTCTCTCTCTTTTTAAAAAAATCAATGTAGCTGCTAAATTTACAGCATCTTTAGCTGTGCATTCAACTTTCCACCTTCCTTTCCAGAACTTTTTCTTAACTCATATATTCTGCATTTGTTCCTCTGATAAAATACATGTTCTGGTTTTTGTCCAAAATATGTTAGTATTTATTTATTCCTTTAGAGTATCAATATCTACCCTTAGCATTTAGGTTCAAAACTTTTTTCAATGTTCTCTGCCATTTTTTTTAACAGAATTTGACTCCTGAATCCATGCATGGTGCTTAAATCCCAAACTCATAAATTATAGGTACTAGATAGTAGAAATGTAAACCATTTATGTTGTTGAGGAAGTGAGTAAGTGAGAAGTCCTTAGGCCATTGCCTGATTTGTGCTCAGAAAGGAATGCTGACAAGAGGATTGTTATTGTAAAGCCAAGTTGAGCCTCACTTGGCAGCTTACTGTGTGATAATTCCTCCACACACAGTCTGCTTCTGACTTTACCAGACAGCGAAACCAAAGCAGCCCGTTCATATTTGGAAAGTGAACCAAGGCAATGATGAGCCAAAAACATCTTCTTTTCTTCTTAAGTAGCTACTCTTAGATGTTGTGTTACAGTGATGAAAGCAGTAAGAAGCAGAAGACACATAAAAAGTCATGTTTTTTGGGTTTTTTTTGTTTTGTTTTGTTTTTTTGTAACATAGCCATTGAAATTCCCTCAGAATGCCTTTTGAGGAAGTTTGTACTTCCATAAGTTGCTAAAACACAAAAGGAATCTATGAGGTCATTCTTTCCTGCTGTAGTAAAGAAAAATAAGAATCTAAAATTAATTTGGTCGATGAAAGGGAAAACAGCAGACTAGCTAATTGGGTTTATCAAAAAGCTTAAACTAACACCAGGTAACCCTTGCCCAGGGTGGAGAATGAGCCAAGCCATTGGCCCTGAAGCCTTTACTGTGCTGTCCTGCAAAATGATGGGAAGCTTTCCATTTTATTCCAGCAAATGGAGATACCCATATAGTCTATCATCCCATAATAGACAAGTTTAGTTTAACACATCTTTGTTTTGATAGTGTACATATGTATTTTTAGGAACTAGAAAGATGAAGATATTATTTAGATAATTTTGAATAGGTATTCTGTGTCAACACTGCCAAAGCCTACCACCACGGACTGAAGGATTAACTTAGGAATTCAGTCCATTGAAAGTTGCTGATGTGGATGTCTTGAAATGTTATCTGTGCATATAAGTGTTGGAAACAATCATACAGAACCTATTCGCCTCTACTTCAGCAAAAGCTGTCACTCATTTACAGTTGTCAACCCTGTTCAGTTTCTGTACTACCGCTTTATATGGGATGTTTATTGGTAGAGTTATTAAAACCAAGATGCAGAATTGGGATGTTATTTATGATAATCCTGTCTATATATAGTTACTATAATTCATGATTTTCACTACAATATGTAGAAATAATTTTGTGATTATGAAACTATTTGTATTTTAGAGTATATTTTAGCATGTTATATTTTATTTACTTTTGACTATAAAATGATTGAGTTAGCTGTCCAAATTATATAAAGGCAGTAAAGTTTCCAGAAAACCAATGGAGAGTTAGGATTAAGCTTCCACTTGTCAAGTTATAGATTTTAAAAATGAAACGAGCAAATTGAGCCCTGAGTGCATTAAGTGACCCTTTTAACAGAAGCTGAACTCAAAACAAAAGTGCTTGAGTTCTACCCCAATTCACTGAAACCCCAGGAGGCTTCATTTCCTTTTATATGTGTTCTTGGGCTACGTCTTTATGTCTCCAAGATAGAGTAATACTGTAACATTAATTATATTTAAATCGACTGGGAGTTTCTAGTATCAAAGAATCTGTTTTTTTGTTTATCTTGGAAGACATATTGAAATCTTGAGAGATGAGGCTTTTTTTTTTTAATTTTTTTTGTTTTTTTATTTCTATTGGAAAGTCAGATATACAGAGAAAAGGAGAGACAGAGAGGAAGAGCAGCCGGAGCTGCGCCAATCCGAAGCCAGGAGCCTGTAGGCTCTTCCAGGTCTCGCACATGGGTGCAGGGCCCCAAGGCTTTGGGTTGTCTTCTACTGCTTTCCAAGGCCACAAGCAGGGAGCTGGGTGGGAAGTGGGGCTGCTGGGATTATAACTGGCACCCATATGGGATCCAAGCCTGTGCAAGGTGAGGACTACCGTGCTGGGCCCATTTTGGTTTTCTTTTAAGAAAATTCCTGATACAGGGTATTTTCAGGTGCCCAAAAACTATTGTTGGGTATTTAATTCTAAATTGATATTCTTTTCAGCTTCAAGAGATATTTAGGAAAAAAAATGAAAAGAGAGAAACTAAAGGAGATGAAGAAAAGCGTGCAATGCTGGTAAGAATATTTTATAGTAATCTCAGGTGGGTTTCGTGAATGAGAATTATTTGTGTTAAGAAGAATTAACTATAGTTTGCAATTTTGGAACTGACCTTTTCCTGAAAACTTTCTGAAGTTTCCATGTAGAGAAATTACTTCAGTATTTATATGCATTAGTATCAGTATTTCTGTCAAATATTGATATCTTACATCTGTATTCATAATCATATTCATTATTCATTGAATCATTTCATTCATATTATTGTTATTTGTGAGATTTGAAGGGTATATCTTATAATAGATTGTTACAGATCATTATGCATATAAAGATTTAAAGGTGAATTGCAAAGATTTAATGATGTGAAGGATAGTGATAACATGAATGTTGAAATAAATATGAGGAAGTAACTTTTTCATTCTTAGAACTATTCATTATAGATTCTTTTGAGATGCATGATTTTTGTCATATTTTGAGGTTACAAGTAAACTGTATTTCTGTCTTACCAATTTTCTGTTTGTCGCAAGTATATCAGCCTGACTACAGGCCAGGTATGCATCCGATTAACAAGCAGACATGGAGACGTATAGCTTGGCCCTAAATTAGGTGGTTTACAAGCCTTTTCTCATTTCATCTACCCAACAATTCTCCTATCTGCAATTGTGAATGAGAAAACTAGTAAATGGAAAGGCTAAGTGTCTTCACCAATGTTACACAGTTATTGAATGGCAAAGTTATGATTTGAACCCACTTCTGGCCAACTTGAAAACCAGTGCTTTCATTCGCTATACTGTATCTTCATGTGCTATTTAGGAACCAGAAATACTAATATTTATATTTGCTGGCCTATAAATAATAGTTACTTCATTTGTAAATGAGTTTGCCTCTGTAGTAGTTTAATTGTTCTAAATGGATTTCAGGCATTTAACATCAGACAGGTGCAATGTATTTTATTGTTCCCTTTGTTCTAAGAATATGTATTAGAATTTTTTGTTGTTTTTTGGTTTTTAAATTTTTATTTATTTTTTATTAGAAGGTCAGATATACAGAGAGGAGGAGAGACAGAGAGGAAGATCTTCCATCCGATGATTAACTTCCCAAGCAGCCACAACGGCCAGAGCTGTGCCAATCCTTGACTGTTTTCCCAGGCCACAAGCAGGGAGCTGGATGGGAAGCAGAGCCGTCAGGATTAGAACCGGTGCCCATATGAGATCCCAGCACGTGCAAGACAAGGACTAGCTGCCAGGCTGCTGCACTGGGCCCTAGAATTTTTTAAAAACATGGATTCTCTGAAGCAGATGGCTGCTATAGTAAATTACAGTATATTTGTGAAATATATATTTATATTTTGTTCAGTAAAAACATTGTCAGGATTACAAAATGTATGATGCTTGATAGTTATTTAGCAATTACAAAATTCTTGATAGTTCTTGGATCATTCGCAGTATACTGCTGACAAGATATGGAAAACATTCTTGAAAAAAATCAAAAAGTTCATTGTAATTCTAACAAAGTATTGAAGGGGATGTTAATTCTACATTCAATTTTGATCTTATGGTTTTAAAATTATAATTAATAAATCCTATATGAATAGCTTTATTTTTTAGCAAGAAAGACTAGATAATTTAATACCTTCTTAAATGTTGTTGTCTATAGTTAATGTATTGAAATAGTTAAAAGTTATTTTAATTTGCAAAAATAACTGATTGGAGAAATAAATTATTAATGTTACTTAAGGAGGCTGAATTATGTTAATGAATGTACCTTAGTGATAAAATAGTATTTCCCTGGATGGAAGTGCAATTATTTTATTTAATACTTCTTTTAGAGAAATTAGAGATCTTCAAATAAAAATATAATTTAATTCTAAACACTAATATTTACTAATATATACACATCAAGTAATAAGGGGAGACAAAGAGAATATAATAGCAAATAATGCACACTAGGAAAAACTACAGTATCAACACAAAACATGGTCCTGGGCTTCATTGCAGCCAAAGTAAAGGAAATTTAGCAATGATTTAATGCAAATATTTTATGGTAGTGACATCATAATTTTGCTAACTTGATTCAATAAGGCAATAAGTACCCAAATACTCTAAATTGTATTCTGTGTGTATATATACACACACATAAATATGTGTGTGTGTGTTTTTTGAAAGGCAGAGTTACAGAGACAGAGTGACAGAGAGGTGTTCCATCCGCTGGTTCACCCCCCAGTTGCCTGCAACAGTTTGAGCTGGGCCAGTCAAGTCAGAGCTAAGAGCCTCTTTCAGGTCCATGTGGGTACAGGGACCCAAGTACTTGGACAGTCCTCCCTGATTTCCCAGATCATACGTAAGGTGCTGGATTGGAACAGAGCACCTGGGACACTAACCTGTTAAAGTAGTGCTTACTAAAGCCATTGATCTCCAAAGGGACCACAAAAATGTTTGTCTTATGTAATTTAAATAGTTCTCCTGAAATCTTATTTACATAATTTGACTTTCAGAACTAATCCTTAAAGCAATTCAGAAGTCATCTTTAGTTTAGTCTCTGATATCACAGAACTCCACAGCAATACAAGCAAATGCTTACTGCTATGTTTAATGAAGTGTATACTTAGTAATAATTTATTGTTGATACTAATTGTCAGCTAATGCAGATCTGAGAATCCTCCTGCAGAGGATTCTTTATTATGCCTGTTGGTGTTATCAAGGTGACTGAACAGATAATACTCTACATCTTTTTACAGTAGTTTGTTTTATTTAAAAACAATTAAAATTTAGCTTGTGCTGAAGCATGGGCCACATCTGAGACAGCATAGCACAGACTCAGGAGCCAGACTGTGAGGGTGTAAATATTAGCATTGCCATTCCTTACATAAGTGATTTTGAGCAAGGTCCTGGACCTCTCTGTGCCTCAGCTTTTTTTTTTTTTTCATTTCTGCAATAGGAATCAACAGTGTAATAATCATGGTGATTATTAGGAGGATAAATGATAAAATCTAAGGATACTTAATAGTATGTGGACTATAATAAAGAAACTCAACAAAGATCACTCAATAAAACTTGAAGTTCTGGTTTATTTACTAGAAGCACAAAGCTGCTTAAACTGAATATTAGCATACTCAAATCAGAACTAATTCAAAATGAAAGCTAACATGATTTACATACCAACATAAAACTGTGCCTCAAAGGAGAAGGGGATAATGGACATAAAATATCTTAGGGCACATCATGTGCTAAGCTCTCTGCTATGTCCAGTGTAAATTTACTACCATTGAGTCCTCCTTACAGACCTCTCAGGTAAGTATATCTTGTGTCCAGATGAGAAGTCAGTTTTGGAGGTGTTGGCTAACTTTCCTAATGTCACAGCGCAGACAGTTGCAGAACAAGGATCCAGTACAGGTCTCTCATTGCCATTTCCACTGCCATGCTGCCACATCTAGATTACCCCCATCCCATGTAAGATTGCTTAAGCATGTCTGACTGAAATTGCTTACTTACAAAAAAAATGTTTTACTCAAAGCAATAGTGCTATAAGAGTATTACTATGAAAATGGTTGAAATGAGCACAGATTCATTTAATGCTTAATTATGTAAGATTTTTAAAACTTTGCTACTCATCTTTAACATTTATCCCACTTGTATTGTGTGTGTGCTCTATAGAGAATGTAGCATAATGATTTACCCTTCCTAATTGATTATTTTGTCGTCTTTTTCCTTTTTTTCTTTTGCTATACTTGGGTTCATTCTGAAATGTGACACTTCATTTGGCCCCTTTGTGCTCTATGTCAGCGTCTTCAACTTTATGGATACCATTCTCCTACTAATAGTGTATGTACAATACTTTACATGTTCTTTATGTAGATAGCCCTCACCTGTTATAACTTATAATGTTTTCTGTTTCTATAAAGCTATATTTGCTATTTAGAATGTTTTGGGATTTACTGAATGCAACAAAGTGCAGCCAAGCTAGAATTTTACATTTCCTTCCTGGACTTGTGAGAAGACTAAAGCAGAGTTATTGTGTGTCTTACAACTTTAGATTAAAATAAGCCAAGCGTGAGCGAACACCCTGCCAGAGTAATGGAAAACCTCTATTTTTCAGCAGTGTCTGAAGAGCCGGATCCGAAGTGTAGAACCAATACTCGTGTTGTGCTCCTGCAGTAGAACACGAGTGGTACAGATCTTGATCTAGCCATCTGGCACGCAGCTTTTGTTCAATTCTCATACAGAATGAAATCATGGATACTTTTTCCCCCTTTTTTTAGTTTTTAGTGTTTCTCACATTTTTTCCTCTAAAACTTTGATTACCAGCTTGCTTTATCTGGGCCAAGATGCTACTTGGTATGTTCAACATGTCACAATGTCGTGTTACTTCTCAAAGAGAAATTATGATTCTTGTTGTGAAACAAATTCATACATGTAGGTTTCCAAATGTACTCTTCTAACGCTGAACTTTCTTCTTTCTTGAGAAAACCATAGCTTGCTGTTTAGCCCAGTTCATTAGTACTTAATATACTAAAATTGGGCCTTGGCCTGTCTGCGTGTAAATGAGCACAAATTATATAATTTCTCCTAGGATTCTCTGTCACCTAAAAGGGTACTCACAATGCAGAAACTGCACCTGGGAAGCTCTTGAATTCAGATGGTTCACTGTTACCCTGCTGAAAAGATTCTATTACTAGTGCATGGATCCAAAAGTACACATATACCTCCTTTTGGATAATCCCATTTCCAAACAATAAATGCTAATCCCTGTTCTGGGTGTGAACATATAGAGGAGATTGCTTTGTCATAAAGTAAACCTAAGATATTTTGCCTGGTAAGAAGGAATGGGATCCGTGTAGTTGAGTAATTGTTTTAATTCCTTAGAAGATATTTTTAGTTTATTTTGTAAAATCATCAGTTTCCTTTAAGTAAAGTCTATAATTTTCTTAATTTTTTTTTAGGTTCTTCTGTCAGTGATCTAAAATTTTATAAGAATGTATATGATTAAAACTCCATAGTGTATAAAGCCATATGCCCTGGGAAGTTTAATAAATGTTAAGAACATTTATGAATTTATGACTTCTTTTTCTATCTACTGTGTCATCATTGTTTAATCCATTTTCTATCTATGACAGTTCTTATTTTCCTTTAATCTTGTAAGTAATTTTCATATAAGATGGTTATATGCTTTGGAAAAAATGCTTCTCAAATTGTTTTTAATACAGCTTTACATCTAACTGTTTATACAAAGTGCAGTCATTAAGACATTAAGAGAATAATAAAAACAGACTTAATGTGGTAATTTGCTTATATTTATTTGATAAAATAAATATGTGACTTTTACATTTTATTATTGTTTTGTAGTCTTTATATTATTTTACTAGTGACAGCTTTTTCCATAGTAAAATGCATATTCTAAAGTACTGTAATTTGATGTTAGTTCTGTCTGCTCTTAAATGGACAACATGATTTTTCAACTTCCTTGGAAGTTTAGTCAATTTTATAAACTTTTATTCCCATAGAAGAAACTTTTAATTGAAAAGGGATCATTTACAAAAGTTGCAAACAAATTAAATTTAGATAAAAATTCAGCCAGTCTGAAAATACCACTGATGTAAGTGTACACACACACGTTAGTACGCTCTTATAAATTAACTAGCAATTATCTGCTGTCTTCTAGAGTTATGTATTAAAAATCGAGGTATACTATATTTTGAGTACAGATCATGGAGCTGAATATAACCTAAGAGATGCAAGGGTACTTCAAAAAAATTTGTGTTCTATCTGCCAGTTTGTTCTCCAAATATCCACAAGAGCCAGGACCTGACCAGGCTGAAGCCAGAAACTTGGAACCTACTCTGGCTCTCACGAGGGTAGCAGAGACCCAACTAATGGAGTCATCGTAAGCCTTCTGCCAATAGGCACATTAGCAAGTAGTGGATCTGAAGCAGAGGAGTGGGGTGACTCAACCCAGGAACCCCAATGTGAGATGTGGGTTGCACCTGTGTACCTACCTGCTGTTCCAATAACCACCACAGTGTGATTTTTTTAAGTACCCTAACTATCTAATAGTTGATTTTCTACATTGAGGGAGAAGGCCGTGGCCCTCCTTGGTTTTTCTACTGTTGAGCTAGAGATCCTGTGGCCTCTATATTAGTGAGTCAAAATTGAATCATTTTTACAGTAGACTCTGCCTATGTTCAGTTATTCCCTGCTACATTGTAAAATTTATCACAGTTTTGTATCCATAAAGACAATGTCCACCTTTATAATTCTGTTTAAAATAATCCTGATCCTTTTCTCATACAGCCAGCTCTTCTGTAGTAATGAAAAGAAACATAAAAATCTTTTTTAAAAAATAAGTAAGACAAGGGTCAAGCATATTTGATTCAGGCATACTTTTTCTGTGGCTTCTTAAAGATTATTCTCAATCACTCTAATTCCACTGCCATCAGAAAAACCTAGCCGTATTCATTCATCCTTGGTGTTCATCTGTCTTATTTTATGAACTAACACAGTGTTAATGTTCATAAATAATGTGTTTTTGAAAAGAGTGTGTTTTCTTAATTTTGTGCTGAAGGGTTGTAATATATATGAATATGCAGATTTCAAAAATTTTTGCACTGAAATAAACTTATCTTTTAACTCCACTTTCCATGAAATTCTTAAAGTAGCCTCATATATATTACTGCCTGTTATGAATTTTAGATCTTTTGTATCATTGTCCATGTTTTTGTGTTTTACCTGTCTTAATATTTTAAATTACATATAAAAATGATCAATTTGATAATTTTTATAGTATCTTAATTTCTGTTGTCTGTATAAGAATATAAACTATTTATATCTTCTTAGTAAATTGAGTCTTCTACTACATACTGCACCTGAATCTCCAGAAATGCTTTCACCTTCATATCTATTTAATTAATCAGAATAAATATGCTATTTTTATTTTAGTTAACATTAAATTTACTGTCATTTTAAAAAGTTTTCTCCTACAGTGATGATTTTTAAACATATTTTTGAGTTCGAAAATTGACTGCAAATACAGTGTAAATATGAAGTAAATGAATGTAAAATTTTAGACACCATATATATAAAGAAATACTGCAGGGCCCGGCGGTATGGCCTAGTGGCTAAGGTCCTCGCCTTGAATGGCCAGGATCCCATGTGGTCGCCGGTTCTAATCCCAGCAGCTCCACTTCTTCTCTGTCTCTCCTCCTCTCTGTATATCTGACTTTGTAATAAAAATAAAATAAATCTTTGGAAAATAAAAAAAGAAATACTGCAATCCCTTCAAGAAGTCTCTCTGTCAGTGCCCCCAGACAGGCTCCTCACTGTCCTTGGAAGGATAACGTGACTCTCACACACATCACTTGCGGCTGTGTTTTGCTGATTCTATCCTCAGCAGTGTAATTTAAGCTCACACAGTTTATACTTCATGTAAAAAGGAATCATATCATACAAAGTCTTGCTTCCATGTTATGATTGTCAAGTCCACCTGCATTGTTATAGTCAAGTCCTAGTTCATTCTCTTGTATTGCTATAAACAGTGGTTCTCAAACATTTGGTCGTGTTGTCCTCATTGTTGAAAACTGAGGATCCAAAAATCTGGCTGTAGAGGTTATAATTATTTTTATTTAGCATATTAGAAATATAAGTGGAGAATTTAAACATTTACTAAGTTGTTTTAAAACAATCAAATCCTTACATGTTAATGTAAACATTTTTATGAAAATTATAAATGTAGTGAGGAGAGTGATACTGCTTTACATTCTGTACAAGTCTCTTTAATGTCTGGTTTAGTGGAGGATAGCTCATCTCATAGTTGCTTTTGCATTCAGTCTGTTGCAGTATATTCCTTTGGCAAGAAACACTTGCAGTTTGCTCTGAGTGATAACCTCATTTGTTTCATTTTGAAAAGAAGGAAGGAAGGAAGGAAAGAAGGAAGGAAGGAAGGAAGGAAGGAAGGAAGGAAGGAAGGAAGGAAGGAAGGAAGGAAGGAAGGAAGGAAGAAAGGAAGGAAGGAAGGGAAAAATCTACCAAATACTGAACAATTACAATCATTAATAATCTTCATCTGCCCATCAGTTCTTTCCAAAAGAACTGGTTCTACTTTTGCAACACAAATCATCATATTCTTTCCTCCAGCAACTCTAGTAGTCCTTGGGTATGCAGCAAAGGTACTTCATGCACACTTCCCATTTCACTGACTCAGAATACAGTAGATATTTATTCAGCATACAGTTTAACAAAATTATATTTTACTCTTCAGCAGATACATTCTTAAGAGGATTTCTTTTGTTCTTATAGCATTGTGTTTTTAACTGGATATGTGGCACGAGAGAGTGTAGTGATTTTGGTCTCTGGGAACACTGCCTCATATAACTTGGGACCAGATGTGTTAGTGACACAGTTGCTTGTACACCAGCAGTGCCAGAGGCAAATAAATGTCTGTAAGATGACTTTGTACCAGATTTTCCAGTTATTCTCAGTGAGAAGGATGATACTCGCTACCAGCCTTTCATTAATACCTTATTGAATCTTTTTAATCTCTTGTTTTCCTTATTTGTTAGGGATATTTTTTTCTACAGTGTACTTTGTGAATTGTGCTTTTTTTTTTTAATTGGTGTTGACAATTTCTATTTCTTTAACTGGAGAATAAAGTTCACATTATTGTGCTTGCTAATTGATTTGCATTCATTTTATGGTAGTCATTTTATTCTTCATGTTTGACTGTCCCCTGCTTCCCTTCTTTTGAAGTTAAGTCATTTATTTATCCTTTTTATTTTTCTCTGAGTTGGAAGATACATACTACATTAAAGTCTTTGTTTTGCTAATCTTGAGATTTTTAATAAGTATACTTACTACATAGAATCTACACTTGGATGGCATTGAATCTTCTCTACAACTCTAAAATGGTAAAATACTTTAATGTCTTTCAATCCTCTTCTGGCATGGGTATTTGAAATTGTTGTACCGTATTCGCATTAATTTTTCTAGTCCCACATATTTGACCTTGTTCGTTTGTTTTTGTTTTTTGGTGTTTTGTTTCTTTTCCTTTTTTCTTTTTCTTTTTTTTTTGTTTTTTTTTTGAGAAGCAGATAGAGAAAAGTTTCCATCTGCTGGTTCGTTCTTTGCTTGCTTGCAGCTCCGTTCGCATCTCCTTTTTGAGTAGCAGAAACAGTTTCTTCAGCTGTCTTAATCGCTGGTCTAAGTGCCTACTCTCAACTTTTGTAACATGTACAGCAGATGCTTGTTTAAATTTACTTTCACATTTATTAGTTATTATTTATTCACTAATTCACTGTTTAAAGTTACCCCTTACTGAATCTCACAATCTTATACCCATAAAATACACCCTAAGATGAGAATATTTGGTTTATCAGTAATCAAATGTGGGCATTATTTGGTACAGCTAGTGATATGCCTATCAAAGTGCCTGGATTTGAGTTCTCACTGCTTCTGACCCCAGGATTTCTGCCAAGGCACTCCTGAAGAGGCAGAATATGATGGCCCAATATGGCTAGGTCCCTGCCTCTCTGGAAGAGCTGCGCTGAGTTCCAGCTCCTGACTTCAGCATACCCCAGCCCTGGCCACTGCAGCCATTTGGGAAATAAACCAGCCAATGGAATGTTGTCTTTCTCTTTTTCTTTCAAATAAACAAATAATTCTTAGTTAATAAATAATTTTTAAAAATCCAACCTGATTTGTTTGGCCACTTTCAAGTTAAGTATATTTTTATAGTGTTAAATTTTCTACCACTTATACATATTCTGAAAATTTACTCAATTTCATTATCTAAGTTTTTATTTAAAAAGTAAATACTGAATCTAGACCAATATGTAATGATCAATGATTATGCAAGGCTTATTCCTGATCTACTAGGCAGCAATAGTTTCTTTAAGGGTGTTTCCCTGTCTTTAAAGCTTTATAATTTAAAAGATAATGTAATATAAAACATAAATTGATGCATCCAGTTAGTAGTAGTTCAATCATATATTATTTGATTTCTAGAGAGAAATGTTAAGTGGAAAAGCTTTCCGTAGGAGGACACTTTTTAAGCTGTTATATTCTAAATAAGATACTTGCTCATTTTTAAGGAACTTATAAGTTCATTTGATTCTCAGTGTCACAGCAAATGCATGGTAATTACTACAACATTTCCCATCAGTTCTTATGTTAACATGGCAATGCAAAAAGGAAATTCCATGTATTTCATAGATACAATTCTAAAATTTTAATTTGAAAATTGTCTTATCTTCATAAACATATATTTTAGAAAATTACTGTATATGGAAAAAGAAAAAATGAAAAATGTTCTGTCAGATATTCAGTATACCTATTTAAGTATGTTGGCTTCTTTTCTGTGTTCAGAAAATATACGGTTTGTTAAGCTATCTCCTGATATGTTATAAATATTTGTATAATACCGTGTGTATTCACATGTGTGTATATGTGATGGTGACCACTGTTTGGAAGTAGGAAATGCATATGGCTTTGTAGGGGGAAAAAAAACCTATTTCTCTCCTACTAAAAATGCAGAGTAAGCCTTATTTTCTAGTTACTTTATCATGAACTTACTTTCTAGAAGTTTCTATTTTAAAATGCATCTGTTTTAAAATGTGTGAATAATGCATGACAGTAAGCATTTAATTTAACTTGTACTTACTGAAAGTATTCTGTAATATAATAGGAAACAAACTGTGGTGGCACAATATTTAGCTCTTTTTTTAACCTCTGTAGTATATAATTGCTTAGTTAGTGCTTATTTAGTAACTGAAGAGAATGAGTAAATTTTATCATGTTGCTACATTTATACTTTTGGTAACATGTTGTCAAGGGGGTAAATAATAAATAATAATAAATAATGTTTTATTATTAGCATGATTTTGAGCATTATTAAAAATATGGTCAGCAGGCAAAGTTTTCTCCTTAAACAAGAAAGAACTAAAGCCTAGAAGATTTTGTACATACTTCCCAAATGCATGATAAATTTATTAAAAGGCACCAGACTTTAAAAAAATGAAAGATAAAAAAGAAAAGTTCTTATTTTCAGGATGTCACATTTTAAGTACATGATTCTGCATTTGTCTTATAGTAACTAAAATATTCCAAGTCGCAGTCTGTGAAATATTCCCTGGTTAATCCCAACAAATACTGTATAATTTTAATGATTTTGTTTATAGACATCAAAATTAGGTTTGCAGTTTAACATTTCTATAGAAAAATCAGACTATAATTAATCTTATCTCCTTTAGGATAAACAATATTGAGAAAAAAGCTAATGTTCATTTTTAAATTTTTTTAATCAGAAAGTCAGAATGACAGAGAGAAAGGGAGACAAAGAGAAGGATCTTCCTCTGTTGGTTCGTTCCCCAAGTGGCTACAGTGCTTGGAGCTGAAAGCTGAGCCAATCCTGAAACCAGGAGCCAGGAGCTTCTTCCAGGACTCGCACGCAGGTGCAGGGTCTCAAGACTTTGGGCCATCCTCCACTGCTTTCCCAGGCCACAAATAGGGAACTGGATGGGAAATGGAGCAGCCAGGACACAAACTAGCACCCCTATGGGATCCTGGCGCATGCAAAGACTAGCCACTAGGCTACCACACAGGGCCCAAAAGCTAGTATTCTATCCTTGCATTAAAACTTAGAAAGTACCTATTGTCCACTCTCAACAGTACCACCTACCAAATCCCTGAGCACCTCTCAGTGGTTTAATTTAAATAGGCATATTTATTTTTTAAGATTTGGGTAGGTTTGAACTTAGTTTCTCTAAAGTATTTTGCTTTTTTTTTTATTGATTACTAACAAGATAGATGATCTCAACAGTAATTTATTTTTGAATTAAGTATGATTTAACAGGTTAGCAAAAAATTACCTAACTCCTCAACAAATGATATTACTTAAGAAAAGATGAGAATGAAATATGTAACTCAAACTTTTTTGAGAGTTATGTGCAATTCAATCAAAGAGTGCAGGAAGGGCTTGGAGAATTTGATTCTTTTTGACAAAGCTCCATTGTACTTAGAAATAGTGGCTTATACCATTACCTACACCTTTGAAAATACCATGGTAATGTAATAATGTTGAGTGCAGTAGAAGAGAGGTAAGCTCATGTATTTTCATTTTGAGACTGATTATAAGAGAGTCAGATGAATAAATCATCATCCTTTTTCACTGTTCTTTATAATTCAGTTGTGCTTCTTAAAACTTCTACAGGTACTTAAAACAGATGCTGAGGAACTCGTCTCGAGAAGCTACTGGGATACACTGAGACGGAACACAAGCCAAGCGCTCTTTTCCGACCTCGCAGAGGTATAACCACACCCCAGCAGGGTGCTTGCTCTAGTTGCCGTTTGTAAATCTAGTCTTCATTTCACTGTAAGGTCACAAAGATGAAGCCAAAATAAAATTCATGATTTCCATTTTCTTAGTGTGCTGTGTAGTTGGTTATGTCAGCTACACTGAAAAGGGCTGCAAGGTCATCTCTAATAGTCTAGGTTAAATGAATTTGCTTGTTATATAAAATGTAACTTTCCAGCTTAATTAAAAGAAAGTGGCATTGCCTTTTATCTAAGGATCACTTTCTTGAAATTTGGAAACAGTAATATAGTCTCATTATGTCTTTTAATTTTATGGCTTCCAATGTTAAGTGAAATACTGAAGTGTTTCAGTTAGTAAGAGAGCTGACTCTTCAGTGATTTTTCGATTTAAGCAATTAAATTTCCTAATGTTTAAGTGATTTACTAAGACCAGGAGTAGGCAATGGGGACAGGGAAGAGGGGAAGCTTGTAGACACGGTCAGTCAATCAAGGAAGGAAAACTTTGTGTGACACTTTTTGTGGGTAGTGAAAATATAAAGCAGACTGACCTTATTTTCAGTTTCATTTTTGTTTTTAAATTTGACACAGATCAGCACGTTATTGCTGCACTTTTGGTCACTGTTCCTATCACACAGATGTTTTTAAGTCACTGTCAGCAGAGCTTTAGATTTTTTTTACAAGTATATCTTTTAGGTGTATACCATTTTATATAACATATTTTTTAATCTGGCACAGTAGTGTAGCAAGCTAATCTTCTACCTGCGGTGCTGACATCCTATATAGGCACTGGTTAGTGTCTAAGCTACTCCAGTTCTGAACCAGCTATCTGCTTATAGCCTTGGAAAGCAGCAGAGGAAGGCCCAGGTTCTTGGGCCCCTGCATGCATGTGGTAGACCAGGAAGAAGTTCCTGGCTCCCAGCTTCAAATAAGCGCCGCCTTGGCCATTGTACCCATTTGGGAAGTAAGCCAGCAAAAGGAAGACCTTTCGGTCTGTCCTTCTCTCTGCAAAATCTGTCATTCAAATAAAAATGAATCTTTTTAACAAGATGAAAAGTGGTATAAAAATTAATTCAAGGAGGCTACCATTCTTTTCAGAAAGACTGAAATAAACTTTTCAAGACATATTTAAGAGGTTTGGCTTTATCTATTTCTCTAGAGAGGGTTTCTCGTTTTTCTGAACTTCAATTTTGACTTTTAAAAAATGTTTCTAAGTTTAGAGAAGTGAAGCACGGTTGGTTGTGACCTTGGTTCCATCACTACTTCCTGGTGCAGTGTTAATTGCCATCCCTAGACTTGGGAACATGCAGGGAAAAATTAGTTTTGTCACTCGTGAGCAATATTAAGGTCCCCAGTGAATGAAAATATGTTTCCCTATGTTTATAGCATTTCATTTACAGATATTTTAGTACTTCGTTTTGTAGTTAGGTATGTAGCACATAGAAGACAGTGCTTGAAAATAAGAATACTGGACTGGCATTGTGGCATAGCAAGTGTTCTGCCAGCAAGCACTCTGATAGGTAGCAGCTGAAAAGTAGCTGGGTTCACGCCACCTACATGGGAGACCTGCCTCTGTAGTACCAGGTTTGGAGAGTGAAAGTAAAGCACTTTCTTACCCTCCCCCAATTCTCTAGATAAGTATAATGCATACATAATAATTTAAAAAACTAATAAGGGCAACTGGGCACTCTACCCTTAAGAAATTGTGAAAACCAAATGTGCCATAGCTTCTAGGCTTCTGTCATCTTAGCATTGTCTGCCCATCTTCCAAACTCCAGCATATTTTTAATCTTGTGTACCTACTACAAGAACAGGTCTTTAGCACAGCAGTTCAGATGTCAATCCAGATGTGGTATTCCATACCTTAGTGCCCGGTTCAAATCCTGGATAATCTGCCTCTGAATCCAGCTTCCTGCTAACATGCTCACTGGGAGGCAACAGGTGATGGCCCAAGTGCTTACATAGCTGCTGCATGTTTGGGAGACCCGAATTGTGTTCCAGACTCCTGGGTTCAGCCTAGTGCAGTCTCAGCTCTTATAGGCATTTGGGGAATGAATTGGCTAATGGAATCTATTCTACCCCTCCCTTCCCATTCCCAATAAAGTGAAAATAAACTCTGTTACTAATTATCGTAGATAAAATCTGCTAATTGTATTATAAAGTTAAGTTAAATCTGAAAATAAGGTCTTCTATACTCTGAAGATGATATGATAGTATGTTTGGTCTGATAGCAGGTGTCCTGGAGTTGGCTTCTACAGCTTTTCAGAGCTAATGTGCATGTCTCTTCCCACCTCAACATTCTATGATGCAAATGCCTTTGGTAGACATACAGTATTACAGAATTGCAGTGTTGGCTGTCATTAGCCACACCATGATCATAAACTGCTAAATTAAGGAGTTTACTCAAATATCATGAAATCAGTATGATATAGAAAAAAATGAGAGGAAAAATAAACAAAATTTTATTGTGTTCCAAAGTAAAATAATTATTTAGAAATTATTTGATATCACCTTCCCATATTTAAAAGAATAACAACTGATAACTATAGTTAAGTTGCAGCTGATTTTAATTCCTTATAGATGACTATGGATGCAGGAGTAATATAGAATTATTTATATTATTAGTATTTTAGTATTCAGATTGGCTCAGAAGGAATTATTTGCATTTCCTTCTGATATATTTAATATATAAGTATTGAGATAAAGTAGTTTTCTTTAATGATTGCAGATATTTGGATATTTGTCTTTCATGTTTATTCCAGAACTATTTCTAACCATAGATTTTTAAAATCATAGTAAAGCCATGTATTCTAAATTATTGTAAAACCATAAAATAAAGACTTGAACATTCCAGAGTTAATTCTATTTTCTTTTTTTTTTTTTTAGAGGTTTACTTATTTTTAGTTGAAAAGGCATATTTACAGACAAGGAGAAAAAAAGAAAGATCTTCCATCCCATGGGGAGTGAATCATGGCCACAATGACCAGAGCTGAGCCTCCTCTGGAGCCAGAAGCCAGGAACCCTGAGCTTCCTGCAGGTCTCCCAAAGGAGTGTAGGGTCCCAAGGCTTTGGGCCGCCCTCTCTTGCTTTCTGAGGCCATACATAGGAAGCTGAGTTGGAAGTGAAGCAGCCAGGACATGAGCCAGCATCCATATGCGATGCCAACACTTGCAGGTGCACAATCAGCAAGGTGACCGATCACTTTGGCCCCCTAACTACTTTCCAGCCAAAATCATGTATGTGCATGTGATTTCAATATTGTTCTGTACCAAAATAAACTTATTTTCTAATTCCATTTCCCATGATTTTAAAGTATCATTTTATAATAAGTTAATATAATGATGTCATGATCACATCGCACAGCTTGAAGAATATGAACATTATTTTGAGTTCTACAGGCAAATTTTAAATTTATTTCTTATTTTAACCTTTACTTCTTTGTAATAAATTTAAGTGGTAGTTATTCAAAATCTTTGTTAACAAATCAAACATTTGAAGACTTCTTCATATAGAGATTCAGTGTATTAGTACATTGTAACCGTATTTTGAAAGAAGATCTTAAAGCTCTTTAGTAGCTTGAGAGGTTTGTATTTGGTGCAAATTTATTTACTTCATTTTATGAAATAGTTTGAAATAATTCTTAATCCAAATTAGATAATAGCCTTTCCTGTAAAAGGCCTAGGGGGTGGGGGTGCAAAGGGAGTCTGCTTTGTCCTGAAAACACTTGAGTTCATTTTATTTCAACAGTAAACACAGGAATCAATAGGATAAAGTCTTTGTTTTTGTCTCAATCCTTGTATGACCTAAGTTATATAACAGTCACGTTCCCATGGACGTTGGTGGGATTTTTCAGTGACTGCTCACTTCTGCTGCACTGATAGAGGCTCAAAGTTTGCTTATTTTCATTTTCTAACTTTTTTCTCTAATTTCGAACTGTTACTTATACCTCTTTGCATCCGGGTTATCTAGAGAAGTGAGAAGTGCAACCTAAACCTAATAAGATTTTACTGGTGAAACAGTGTAAATGAGGATCTGCTCTGTTTAGCAGGCATGGGAAGAGCTGGCTGAATGAGGTCATTACTTAAAACCCGTATAAATGAAGTCCTCTCACTTTAGTGTACTGTCAGCTGAAGGGAAGGACATTAAGACATTGCAGGAACACAATTCAACTTTGGCGGTTGTCTAAGATCACTAGCTTTTTATTTTTCTTTTATCGCCCATTTTAGAGCTATAGATCAGATCTATAAAATGTTATTTTAAGATCAACAAAAAACAATGTACCATTTAAAAATCTTTTCTTGTCCCTTATCACACTTCTACATTATTAACCCTTTTTTTGGTCTCTGCTGGTCCTTTTAAAAATTCCTGAAATATGTTACTTGGCAAAAATATACAATTACCGAACAATAAGTAGGTAATTTGCATAATCTGATGGAAAGATAACCCTTCCATGCATACTTCCCTATCCCCTCCTCGCCTGCTCACCACCCAGGAACATTAGCCTTCTTTCCAGAACATCTAACGTAATGCCTAAAGGCAACTACTCTTTTTTTTTAATAGCATAGAATTTTATTTTATTTTATTTTATTTATTCATATATCTAAGGTAAAGGGAATATTGAGGGAGAAGCCCCACCCAGTCTCCCACCCACTCCAGGTCCCCGATGTGAGGCATGCTCTGAGATCCTTGCTCAAGTGGTTTTGATAGTTCACCAGTTATGAATCGCTATCATTCTTGCCACTCCAAGCATGATGAGGTTGTTGAAGAATCCACTGATTGACATAGTGCATCATAGAGTCTCCATCTGCCCAGTATTTCGCTGCCAACATAGCTGAGGTGGTGGGTTGACCTGTTCTGTCTTCCGTCTTTTCTTGGTTAGGGTTCTGAGTCCGCCATTTCAACTGGGGAGATCCCCAAAAGAAACTTTGAGGTGTTCCCAGATCAGATTCTTGTATGTATTAGCAAGTATAGGGCCCGCCACTTATGAATTAACAAAAATGATTGAAATGGATATCACTCTTGAATATCTGGAGATTAAAACTTCTAGTCGGGACTTCAGTCTCCCACTATCTACACAGTAACCACTAAATTCACCCAAGGTAAAAAAAGATTCTAATGCAAAACTGTCTTCTCACCAAGAACCTTCTGGCCTATAACCTATTCGTTTCCTGTCTTTACCAGTCAGTGGGCAGGTATAGGGACCTGTGATGCTTATAGAACATTTTAGCCAGTTCAGTTTCATAAGCTATTTTAAGAATTCTTTCCTATAAATTTTTAACATATAGCATACTCAATGTACTCGTTTACTAACTCCTTTTGTCATACACCAGAAACCTCTTTCACATCTTAGAAGATACTATAAAGTAGCACTTGTTTGTTCCTTCTATACATTATATACATAACAAAGTAAAACAAATTTCATGGGCGGGTGGACAGTGGTCAACCTGTTAACAGAAAAGCTTGGTGGAGTCTTTCTTCAGTGTAGAAATATATTTTAGTATAGAAATAAAAAGCCAGGAATAGGCTACAGACAGAAAAGTGTTGTTTGCCAAGTAACCAGGGAAGAGGAAAGCACCTCTAGGGAGAAGACCAGGAAGTGGGGTGCCTCTTGAAAGAGGAGGAGACATGAAAGGTTCTTGGAATTTTAACTATTCCCTCACTCCTCCTTGTGTGGGCAGGAACCCGAGTGGAAGACCCAACCAGTTAGGAGATGGCTGGGAGATGGCTGGGCATTTCTTGTGGCCAAATTTTAGTGGGCTTTGGCCTCAAGCCCGTTAAACATTAAAAAGACTATCATCAAGTATTTTTTTTTAAATACTTGTTGGAATTTAGTTTATTGAGTTAGGAAAAATCTTTAGGGATTAATTTCTTAGTGATTCAAAAATTAGATAAGACTTTTCTTTGGAAAAAAAAGCTGCTTGTATAAGTTCCGTGATAATATTGTCAGAATTATTATGATAATTTTTTCAAAATGTAACATCATTTGTTTGAAATATCATAATTATGATTTATTACAGGAAAATACCATGGTTCAAAAAAATTCTTTTGGCGAGCCTAAGGCTTTTTTCTTGTCACTCCCCTATATCTAAGACATCTGAAGAATTAGCCACGGTTGAGCATCTAAAAAATGGATTTCATGTTGATTAAGAAAACCTAAATTGAATACCTACATAAAAGTAGAACTTAGAGGTTTACCAAAAAAATCAACTATTTTACATACTATATAGAATATAATCTGCATAACTTGAAGTTGAAAATTTCTTAAAATATAATGCTACCTTTAGAATTTTTTATAATTTTTATGTTCATACTTTGAGCTTCATTTTAATAATTACATTATTAATATAGTCTGTGTTCCATTGTAATTTTGATGTGTTTGTATGCTTGATATCAGTATGCTGGTAAAATTCTCTGGCTATATATATATATATTTTTTAAATTTTGTTTTCTCTGGCTATATTAGGTATCCATATTCCATTTCTATTTTCAGCTAATTTTTAAATTGTGGTTTTCTTTTAAGCGTGCTGATGACATCACAAGTTTAGTAGCAGACACTACGCTTCTTGTACATTTTTTTGGGAAGAAAGGGAAAGCTGAGCTCAATTTTGAAGATTTTTATAGGTAAGCTTATTGTCAGAAAATTATTAACACATTAGAGTCTTTAGAAATCTGAATATGAACTGTAATATTGCAACAATGTGGAGGAATTCAACATGGGGAGCGGGCAGGGACGGGTTGGGGGAATCCCAGAGCCAATGAAACTTGGTCATAAAATTAAATTTAAAAAAAGTTCATTGTGATGTTTATCACATTAATATACATCAAATGCTTGACTTGGCTATGTAAATGTTGCTTACCACCATTATCATTAAATTGCAATATGTCATGTACTTCTGAAAGTATGTTGAACTCCAAGCAATGAATATGTCCACTCTGCCTCCCTAAAGCTGTCTGGTACATAGTGTCCAATCAGTACAATGCATTTTCTACAATGGCTAAACAGAAAGCTTGCATGTTAAAGAATTCTAAGAGGTGAAGCCAAGTAAGTCAACATGCTCCTTTAAAATTTTTATTTGTATATTAAGAGTGTCAAACATGATGTTAAGATATATGTGGATATTTTCAAAACATAGAAAGTAGAAATGAAAGTTCTGTTTTGGGTGGGAAAAATATTGAAATCTGTATAGTTTTTTTCATTATATTTTCATGAGCTTTTTGAAGACCTCTTATTTACATGGATTTTAAAGATTATTACAACAAAATAAACTTTTCTATAATTTTCATTTTCCAAAAAAAAAGAAATTATTTAGTTCAGAATTGCTCACCAGTTTGCGCTTTCTATCTTACTTGGAGGTAATATGTATGATAAGTATACTCTTCCATTAAAATCAACAGACCAGTGAATATACTGATAACTATACCAATAAATTACAGAGTACTTAAAAAAACCTTGATTAATATCTGCTATACATTTACAGGGAAACATCTTCCCAGTATGTTGATCTCAATAAATATGAAAATAATTAGGAATTTGCACATCTTTGTTATCCTGTACGGTACTGTTGTTCTCCATTTTACAAATGGGGAAACCTAAGCCTGGGAAGCTGATTTGCCTCAGGATCCAAAATCATGAAGTGATGCAGCTCTTACAGAATTTCATGAAGTTTTGTGTCATTGTATAATGAAGTGATTGTCAAATAACCATTTTACGATATTGACTATTTACCTCAGTCTTTATATATTTTTGTGGTAGATTCATGGATAACCTCCAAACAGAAGTTCTAGAGATAGAATTCCTTTCTTACTCAAATGGAATGAATACAATCAGTGAAGAAGATTTTGCTCATATTCTTTTACGATATACAAATGTGGAAAACACATCAATATTTTTGGAAAATGTGCGTTACAGTATACCTGAAGAAAAGGTATTTAAATCTCTATGCTTATTTTGTTATATCTGTTATGTATAAATAATATATATGATTATTCTGTGATAACCATGTTACTCTGTAAATTAAGAAGAAATTTTGGAAATATTTCATTCTTTTTCCTGTGTAGCCTGAGAGTCCTGGATAAATTTTTTTTAATTAATTAAGATTTAGATTGAGATGGATGGTCCCATTTCTCTTAGCTATGCTGAAAACCCTTAAAACTATTAACTGTTTTTTATTCAAAATAGGGATATCATTTTTCCAAGAGGATTCTGCTGAGCTATATACTTTGACTCCTACATAAACATCACCTCATAGAAAAGTCTCTGTTGACATCATTTCTGTCACACTCTATTCACACCTTTAATAAAAGGTCATTTGAAGATTGACACTGATGAGTGAGTGATCTTATCAGCAGTTGAAGTAAGGCTATTTAAAGAGTTTGGAAGGCATGAATGGTTAAGCGCCAGGGACAACTGATTGTCTATTTGTTCAGTAACGAATGTGTTGTCAGCACTTCTGAGCAGTTACATTGTCTAGTGGCATTTGAATGCATCATTGCAACCAAATAGAACTTGTCTTACAAGTACCCCTTCAACCATGGGATGTTTTGGATACATTGGCTTCTGTTTGTGTTTATAGAAAGATTGGGTTAAGCTGGCCAAGAAAAACTCGCAAATAGTTTGACTTTGTTTAAAATCGGTATACCATGACAATGCTAACAATTGTCCAGTCTCCATGGGAAAAGAAAAGAAAAAATGTTTATGATCCATTTGCCCATTAATTTGTATTGTCTGTTAGTCATGAGACTTTAATCTGTTTTCTGTGTTCAATTGAATATTACCAATGCATAAATATTTCACTAAACAGAACTTGTATAATTTTATCAAGCTACTATATTGTTATTTATGGCCTCAGTCTTTTTGTTTATTTTTTTAAATGGAAACTTACTGAAATCTGCAACTCAGAAGGTTAAAAGCCAAGATAGAGAGTTTATAAAAATGGTTGTCCTGTTTTTTTTTTATTGCAGACCTTTTTTTAAATTTTGATAAAACTTCATTTTTTATTTGGTCATAATGTGTTTTCACTTTTTCCTTTAATTAAAAATATGTTAACAGAAAGGAAAATGGTGTTATTGATTGTCCTGTTTTTACAAATGATTTAACATCTAAAAATATTTTTAAATGAGCGGTATTTTTGGTTAAATTCAGCTTCTGAAGGCCCTGTGTAGAGGATGTTAAGTGTTCTAGCTCATTACAGTAGAAACAGAAGCTGTGTTAGCATTGATTGAGTTTTCCCATCTGTATACCCAGCAAGTATTGGCATCCTTCTTTCAGAAAAAAGGAAGCGGGGGTTTTTGTGTGCTTAGACACCTGTCCAAGGATGCAAACCCCAGGGTTTTTGAGCCAATGATGGTTTTACCATATTCCATTTTTCTTTTTCGTTTTCACTTCTCATTCCCATCTCTCCAACAGAGTAACAACCACTACTATTTGAATAGCATTTTTTTAAAGATACTTTCTTCTTCATCTGTTTGTCTAGCAAGCAGTTATATTAAATATCTAAAACTTAACAGATCTTAATCGACTTACTGGCTACACAGCACTAAGACAAGCAAAATGTTCTCAGATAAGTACATCTTGGTAGAGAGACAAAATAAACACATAAATAAAGCAAATAGATGATACACTTTCAGATACTAACATTGGGAAGGGGACCAAAAAGCATGGGTTCTGGAAAAGCTGAGGAAGTAGTCTTTGAACAGAGTTCATGGGGAACGAGCTGTGAAAAGACCAGGATGGATAGCCTTCCTGGCAGAGGGATCCATGAACACCTGAGGCCTGGGTACAGAAAATGCTGTGTTTACTTGGGGAAACGCCAAAAGGGCTTTCTCAAATGAACAGGACAGCAGTAGTAGATGAGAAAGGCAAGATGAGCAGGGACCACCAGTGCAGAGGATTTGAATTTTTTTTTAATTTATTTGACATTTATTTATTTATTAGTGGTGACATTAATCCTGAAGGAAGCCACCAGAGTGATACATTTTAAAGCCCTAGTCAGCAAACTATATTTTGTAAACTTTTTTTTAACAAATAAAGCTTTACTGGATCACAGCTATACTCATTTATTTAATGTACAATCTGTACCTGCTTTTACACCTTAATTGTCAAGTTGAGTAGTTGCAACAAGAAACCATATACCAGCCAAATGAAAGTATTTACTCTTGCCCATTACAAAAACTTGCCAGCCTTGCTTATAGCATAGACATGATGTTGAGTACTTTCAACAAGTTTTTCTTCACTGAATTTTGACCATGTACTATGACACTCAGGGTGGTCTGATTCATGCACCAGATACAATATGACTCATGTTTCAGAATGTCTTCCTCACTGCCACATAACACAACCAATTTCAGTTCACTTGGCTTTGAAAGAAAGAAGCATGTTAAGCTGCTGTTAGAAAAATCCAACTGAGAGATAAGCATAGTTTGGTCTTTGAGAAAATTAGGAAGAAAAGGAGTCAGATCTACAAAATGTCTAAGAGAAGATAGATATTAAGCAGGCGGGTGGATGTTATACATTGGTGTCTGAGACACAGCAAGTGAGAAGTGCACAGCTGAGAACAGTGTGTAGTATACTGACACTGGTAGAGAAACTGTGTGCAAACTCTGAAAGGGCCCTCAGAACTGGAAACGTTGGTTCTTCTCAGGAAAGAGCCCATGAATAACCAAGATTGTGTGATGTGCAGTCGTCTGAGGGTTTTTGAATTTTGAACATGTTAACGCACTGCCATATAAAGTAAGCAATTTTAAAAAAATGTGGGCGTCCATTGTGAGAGAGCAGGTTAAGTCGTTGACTGCAATGCTAGCATCCCGTATGGGTGTGAGTTCAAATCCTGACTGTTGCTTTTCACTTAGGATCCAGTCCCTGTTAATGTGCCTAGAAAGCAGCAGATGATCACCCACGTATTCAAGTCCCTGCACCTGTGTGGGAGGCATAGCCCAAACTCCTGCCTTTGGCCTGGGTCCATGGCTATAGTGGTCATTTCAGAAGTGAACCAATGGATGGAGGATGTTTCTTATTCTCCTCTCTCTTTTTGTAACTCAGGCTTAAAAAAAAATAAGCAAATGTAGACCCAGTATGGTACCTAGTGGCTCAAGTCCTAGCCTTGCGCCAGGATCCCATATAGTTGCCGTTCATGTCCTGGCTGCTCCACTTCCCATCCATCTCCATGACTGTGGCCTGGGAAAGCACTCGAGGATGATCTAAAGCCTTGGGACCCTGCACCCATGTGGGAGACCTAGAAGAGGCGCTTGGCTCCTGGCTTCAAATCAGCTCAGTTCTGGCTGTTGCAGCCAGTTTGGGAGTGAACCAGTGGATGAAAGATCTTCCTCTCTGTCCTCCTCTCTGTATAACTGACTTTCCAATAAAAACAAATAAATCTTTTAAAAAAATAAATAAATCTATTCAAAAATTTTCCTAAATGCTGTGGTCCTAGGTGAACTTACCTAGGAGAGAATGTGAATGTAGACAAGAAGGGAAGGGATAATAGTTTCTCAAAAAATGTATTAGGATATTAGCAACAATTGTATAATTATGATTAAGCTTGGAAGAAACTGACACTCGTAAAAAGTTAAATGCCTTTCCTTAGGTCATTCAGTCAAGAAATTCTGGATTTGCAATTTTCTCTACATACTCTGTATATTTTATTGAATTGTTAATTTCACTTCTTTGCAAGATAGAGGCAGAGAGCGATCTCCCATGGATCACTTCACTCCCCAAGTGCCTGAAATGGACAAGGCTATGAGCTGGGAACAGAATCCAGATCCCCCACATAACCCATCACCTGCCCTCTCTCAGGGTGGGCAGCTGTCCCAAGCAGCCAACACCTACCCCTCAACCTTTGAAAACTGTTTATATTTGTAAAAGTTACATAGATCAGTTACATATAGATCTCAGATTTTAAATAGTGGGATAATTGATCTATAGAATGTGCATGAATTGTGCTTTGACAATAATTTATTTATTGGATACCGTGATAAGACTCTTTTCTGAAAGGTTGTTTCTTTTAAGCAATACTCTGTTGCGATGATTTATTTGGATTTTTCAATTTGATCTTCCTTCTACTTTGTATTTGGTTAACGTGAAATTCAGTTGACCTAGAAAAACAATTCAGAGGCTGTCACAATTTTGTACAGCCACGTTTTTAAACATTTTCATTGCACAAAATAAACCTTGTATAATTTAAACAATCCTCCCATTTCCTTTTCCATATAATCTTCTTGGAAAAAAATCTGCTGTCTCTGTGAATTTCTTCTGGCTGTTTCATAGAAGTAGAATTGTTACAGTGTAAAGCCTTTTGCGCTTTGCCTTCTTAGTGTTTCTTAGATTATATCATGTATAAGCACTTCAATCATGCTATGGTTTAATAATAAACCATCGGTTCAGGCATTTTGCCCAGCAATTAGGATACTAGTTGGTATACCCACATTCCATGTCACTGCAATTAAAAAGCTAAGCTTATTTTGGTGTAAAATGTTTTGAAATATGCCTTAATGTTGTCCTAATACCCATTTTCCATGAACTTTTTGAGGACTTCTATTGCATTTAGAAGTTTCAGTAGCATTTTTCAATTTTTTGGGTACTCATATATACCCCAAAGTGTAACTGGTACGTAACATGTTATTTTCTGTACTTTGCTCTGTTATTATAGGCATTCTAACGGATGTGAAGTGGTTCCTACCTATACAGTTACTCTTATCGTAACGGTATATTTTTTTATTTCTTCATCTGGCTTTAAATTACTGGGTCTAGTTTTATTTCTTTTCCAGTTGAAGGATTCCCAACAGCCCTTTTTTGTGGGTCAGATCTAGTAGTAATAAATGCCCTTGTGTGTTGTTTTTAATCTAACAATATCTTAATTTCTTCTTTATTTTAATTATTTACTGGAAATGCAGTATTAGAGGGGAGGAAGGGGAAGAAAAAGAGAGAATCTTTCATCCATTGGTTCACTCCTCAAATGGCTATCGCAGCCAGGGATGGACCAGACCAAAGCCAAAGCCAGCAGCTTCTTCTGAGTCTGTCATGTGACTAGCAGAGGTCCAAGCACTTGGGTCGTCATCTGTCGCTGTCTCAGGTGCATTAGCAGGAGTTGGATTAGAAGTGGAGGAGCCAGGGCACAAAGCAGTGACCATAGAGCAAATACACAGTATTTATTGTAAGCAAAGAATTCAGTGGAGTCTTCATCTGGCCTGTCTTTCCTATTATTCTGTGTTTTGTTTCTTAATTTCATGCTCCCCAGAAGTACTTCTATTTCTATTTACTCTTCAATTGAACCATCCCATTCTTCTGTTGCCTAATTGTACCAGCAGTACCTTGTCACCCTGAGAGACTATTGCTATGGCAGCTGGTCACATTATAAACTGTTGCAGAACTGTAGCCATGACCAGTTTCCCTGGTAACCAGCTCTTCCACATCAAGATGAACTTCTCTGGTACAGTTGTCCTTACTGATATATTCAGTTCTCTAAAGAAAACGTGACAGGCAGAATCAAGTCACAAAGGAGGCTGCAGGATTGCAGTGGCCATAAATGAATGTGAGGGAAGGAAGAAAAGTGTGAATAGGTGAGACGTGGGGATACTCATGTTACTAGTCAAAGAGGAGCTATAATTAAAGTGGAGGGACTGTAATTGAAGTAGAAAATAGGTACACCAAAAATGAGCTGTTTTGCTACTAAATCATGTAATTAGTAGTTGGTGTATATGAAAATAGATTCCTTTGGGTTTTTCCCCCGCTTTCCGACACTTGTTGGTGTTCCTTCCTCTGTTCCCACACTGAGGTGTAAATTAGCTGAGTCTAAAGTCTTGGTCCCCTGCTCTTTTTTCTTCAGTGTACTTTCTCAGTTTTGTCAGTTGTGTTGAGCAGAGCACCTTGATTAAATGAAGCTTGTGCTCAGATTGAGCTCTGAGATACACTTTGCTTATTTCAAACAATTTTTGTGTTTAAGTACAAACTGGTATAGCTGGCTTATGCATTTGAAAATTCAAAGGATGCAACTCTGAACACCGTGTCTTTCCACGAGCCCACACCAAACCTAGGACAGGAGTTCTCAGAGCTGTATCCATGCAGTCTTTGCATCTTCTCTTGGCATGCCACCTGCATTCCCATGGCAGAAGCAAAACAAATAGATTACTCTTGATACTTCATTGATGTCTGATTTTGTATTATCATGAAGGTACCAGTGATTTAATACAGTGTAGTACATGAACAGAGGAAGCTCTTTAATGCTTTGGGTTTTTTTTAAATAATATTTATTTTCTTGGTTAAAAAATTCAGAACTAAAGCAGAGTTTTCAAAATTGAAACATTTTTGTTTTTATTATAGTAGCATTTTTTTGAAACTTAGTGTAGATAAGCCAGGTTTTAAAAATATTTTCACCTATGACACTAATGGTAGGATCACTACTCAATAGAAGTAAGCCTGAATTTTATATTACAGTTGGAGAAAGATAATTTCAAAATGTGCCCAAGTATTTATTTAATACATTTACTTATGTTAAGTGGAGGTGTTTATTTTAATAAGTTTGTCAATGCAAATTACATTTATACCTATTTTTCTAAAATAGGGCATCACATTTGATGAATTCAGGTCATTTTTCCAGTTTTTGAACAATCTAGAAGACTTCGCAATAGCCCTGAATATGTATAACTTTGCAAGTCGTTCTATAGGCCAAGGTAAGTAACCAGCTTTCAAAAACTGAAAGCAAATGAAAAACATGCAGTATTGTTTCTGAAGAGTTGCTTACATCAGCATGTGTTAGCTTACCTGAAAGTCTAGTGCTTGCACTCTCAGTGGGAAATCAGTTCTGATACTTAAAAAGAACCCCGAGCAAATTTGCATTCAGTTTAGTTTTAGTAAAAATTAAGGATATTTGTAAACAGCTCAGAGAGTGACTTCATAGTGACTTTGTAACATGGAGGGACCTGTGTCCCCTGGCCGACAAGCCATAATTCCTGCTAGCTCTGAAACCTAAACTGTGTCAGTTCTTAGGCCTGAACTTACATTTACATTAACTGTGTTTTGAAAATGATGTATAAAATTGAATATTGGTTTTACTTAATTACAAAGAAATGAGACTGTCATGGAATTGAGAATGCTGTCCTCTTCAACGAGCAGAATGACTGACAAGCCCAGCCCTTTTTGTAAGATTCTCTGTGATGACTTTCCCTGCACTTCTGTCCACATCCCTTTTCATAATTCTTGCCATATTGGAGACTTTATGACTTTAAGATGATTTTCCTTTCTCTGCTATTATGTATCATGTGTTCATTCCCAAGTTTAAATTCCAGAGGTCAGTCTTGATTGTTGTTGTTGTTGTTGTTACCAAATAAAAGGGGGAACCTAACTGTAGCCCCCCCAAGTGTTAATGATCATAATCTTTCTCCTTAAAGTACACATATCGAATCTGTTATACGACCGTCTTCATTTTTTCATTAAATGAGAAAACTGAAGACAATTTTTATTTCACTCTTTCTGTAATAGAAGGTTTGAAAAATACCATCTTTTTCTTTTTTTTTTTTTTATAGTGATGAATGAGGTTTATTTTGGTCATTTGATCACGCTTCTAACCCATACCCAATTAAGAACAAAGCCTTAGTTGTACCCTGAGAGTCCTTACTATTCCTGGTCTCTCCATTTCCTTTTACCATCTTTTTCACTCAAGTCATGTAATGGTATAAAATCAAAACTTTGGAAACTCTGGCTTCAGGGCAAGCCTTGAGTACTTTATTAAATATCATCAAGATATTTTTTTAAAACTCATTTTTTTGCCCACTTTAAAATGGAAAGTTGCTCTTTTATTTCATGAAACTGAGGAATGCAGAAAAAATATCATTCTTGCAGATACTAGGAATATATCACTTTCTTTTCGTTTGTCACAGTGGCATCTTAGTTCAGGGTATGTCCTCTTGGAACCATGGTGGCAATCACCTGAGTAACATTTAAGCAGTGCTACTACTTGCTAGATAACTAACAGAATGATCTTTGTAAGACAGAACGTAAGCTTTCTGCAGCACACCTGCTTTGTAAACTAACTCCCCAGTTGCCTGCTGGAGAAGGACCACTTGCCTCACCTCATGTTCCCTAACCAGAGTGTCCCCAGATCCTGTATGCCCCGTGTCCCTGGATTGTTCTCTGAATGTGTTTTATGTCCTCTTTTTTTTTTAAGTCATTCATGTTACCTCATCTGCCACATCTCCATGTCTACAAACTGAAACCATCGAAGTGTCAGCCATGATACCAAATCACACCATTATCCAGTAACTGCACATTGCCCTATTCTTATTCCACACGGCAGAAACATTCACACATCTTGAAACGCTCAACAGCATTTTTTGGTGCTTGGTGTGTGGCCCTGTGTGATGGTTCTTTTGGCAGGAGTTTCATCTATGTGAACTGTCAGTTTCTTGAGGATTTTTCTTAATGACTATCTGTCACTGATAGTGCTCATTAAATATTTATTGATTATGAATGCATAATCAGTGCTTGGTTCTTTTTATTAAAACTGTATTTTCATTTCCTAAAATACAACATTATGGGGTGTTTTTTTGTTTGTTTGTTTTAAAAAAAGGTCATGTTACATAAGATTGTGATGTATGTTTGGAAGACAACTTTTACCTTTCTGGCAATTACCGTGTATTTCAGAAGTAATATTTTTCAAAAAGTATTATTATTGATGTACTGTTTTTCTTTTGATGTGACATTTATCCAGATGAATTTAAGCGTGCTGTCTATGTAGCTACTGGTCTCAAACTTTCACCACACTTAGTGAACACTGTCTTCAAGATCTTTGATGTTGACAAAGATGATCAATTAAGTTACAAAGAATTTATTGGAATTATGAAAGACAGACTCCATAGAGGATTCCGGGTAAGTCAACAGATTTCAAATCTGTTAATATTCATTTTAAAATCTAAGACAAAAATTTAATAAATTATGTCTTTTTAAAAAAATTATTTGCTTATTTTAAAGGCAAAGTGACAGACATAGATTTTTCATCTATTGAGTCACTCCTCAGATGGTCCCAGCAGCTGGGAACTGGGCCACACCACAGGCAGGAGCCTCAGCTTTCCCAGGTGGATATCGAGGGGCCAGGCACTTGGACCATCTTCCACTGCTTCCCGGGGGCACTGCACAGAGCTGGTCATAAGCTGAGCATCTGTGACTCCAGCTGGAACTTGGATAGGGGATGCCTGTGTCACAGGGGACAGGGTTTAAGCCGCCGTGCCACAATGCTACCCATAATTTATGTAACTTTTAGATCATAGATATATGATATTATTAGCAATGAAAAAGTAAAAGCCCTATTGGCTGTCAAAAATAGCTGCCAAAATTTAGTGATTTGGCTTTTTGGGGGGAACATAAAACTAGTTTGACTTTTAAGTAATTTATTGTATATACAAATATTTTAATATTTTTATCACAGTTTGTAGGGGGAAATGGTACCAGATATTTTTGAAAACTAGTCTGTACTCTTCAGAATTTCACATATAAAAAGAAATATCATTATTTCTCACTTTTCCTTTTTTTATGGAACACCATTTTTTTATAAATTTTTTTTTTATTATTATTGGAAAGGCAGAGTTGCAGAGAGAGAAGGGAAGACAGAGAGATCTTCCGTCTGCCAGTTCACTACACGAATGACCACAGCCATCAGAGCTGAGCCAGTCAAACACTGGGAGCCTGGAGCTTCTTCAGAGTCTCCTAGATGATTGCAGGAGCCCAAGGATTTGAGCCATTCTCTACTGCTTTCCCAGTGCATAGGCAGGGAGCTTGATCAAATATGGGGCAGCCAGAACATAAACCATGTGGGATGCAGGTACTGTAGTCAGAGGCTTAGCCTAATACACCAAGGTGCTGGCTCTTCTCATTTTCTTTCTCTTTGTTAGGATTATATTTATTTTTATTGGGAAGATAGATCAGATTTACGGAGAGAAGGAGAGACAAAGATCTTCCATCCAGTGTACCACTTCCCAAATGGCCACAATGGTTAGAGCTGATCCAAACCCAGGACCCAGCAGCTGCTTCTGGGTCTACCACACGAGTTCAGAGTCTAAAGGCTTTGGCCCATCCTCTACTACTTTCCCAGGCCACACACAAGGAGCGTGATGGAAAGTGAAGCAGCCAGGATAGGAACCAGTACCTATATGGGATCCCAACACCTGCAAGGCAACAGTTTAGCTACTGAGCCATCATGCCAGCCTGCCACCCTCCCCCCTTCTCATTTCCTGTAAGACTGATTTCCTGTAAACAACCTGAGGTTCTTAAGTCACTACATATTTACTGTTTATATGGAAAATAAAATTTTTTTGTCTGTTCAACTTTTTGCTAATCACATTTTATACTGAAAACAAATGACAAGAAATCCAAAATTTTTTCTAGTAAATATGTTTTAAGTACAGTATGAATCAGTAAATGTTTACACATCTTTGAAATATTTGAGGATGTGCCACAAATGGACAAAGAAAAATTTCTTCTCTATTAATAGTTTAATAGTTAATCTTCCCCCTTTTGCAAGAATATTCATAGATTTTTAGAGATTTTTAGAAGAAAAAAAAATTTATCCCAAAAGAAAAATCAAGATTCCCCCCTCAGGGTTGTTTTTTTTTTTTTTTTTAACAAATCTATCCTAAGATGCTATGTTCTTAACTGCCACCTAGTGGCTGATTGTTAGCATTTTTGGTGATGCCTCAAATACCTGAGAGAACATCAACTGAAAATCATTTTTTATTTTTCCTGAAAAATTTTAGTGTAACAAGATCAAAGTAATATTAACTGGATATAAACCTCTGATATTACATTGTTTTTATAGGTCTTACAAATTTATATTGTTTTTATTAATTTACTTACTAATTTATTGCACATTTGTACACCTATGACATTTTATTTACATCTATACACTTGAAAAACATTTTTAAATTTTAAAAACACAAGTAATAATTGTATATATTTTGGGAGCATAATGTGATATTTATTGAAATGATTATATCAAGCTATAAACTTTTGTGGTCAAGATATTTTTTTTAACTATTTTAAAAATCTGGTTTTTTTAATGTATGATTTTTTAAATCTGTTTTTAATTTTAATTTTGATGATGTTCATGTAAGGTGGGAAGGGTCCAACATCAGGGTAAAATGGGTGAGACTTTTGTTTCCACATTTTCTTTTACTTCTTCCTATATTTGGAGGAAGAGGAGAGATAAAAGGAGAAGCCACACCCAGTCTCCCAACTGCCTCAGCACCCGGGGATGGGGAACTGCCACCCCGTGTCATCCCAAAGTCCCCGATGTGGAGCATGCCTCAAGGGTCCTGCTCAAGTCGTTTCAGTGGTTCTGAAATGCTGTCAGTCTTGCAGATCAAGGATGAGGAAACCCTTCCAAGGCCCACTGGCTGACGCAGTCCACCTGAGTCTGCATTTGCTCAGATGTTTGCTGTCATGCTTCACTGGGGTGGTTGACCAGTGTGTTATACCATCCTTCCTCTGCTTTGATACTGGATGTCCTCTGCAGGCTCCAGTGGTCTGGCCTATCCTCCACATGCCTCGCATATGCCATCCACTGCTCCATCAGAGCCACTGAGGAGGTCCTGTTTTGATGTGCTCCGTTGTCAGAGCACAGGTCCTGCCGCTCTCCTTATAGTTGTAGTTATGAGTTTAGTTGGGGAATCCTCAAAGAAATGTCGTCTGAGGTGATCTCAGACCTATCTCTTGTGTGCCCACCTATATGGGGTTCAGTTCCTTTCATCACCCACGTCAGCCTGTGTCCACACTGGTAATTGCAATTGCTAGGTCAGATCTATCTGTACCCCATTTCTTAAACAAACCAATAGGTGCTTCAGCCCAGCCCAGCCCAGCCCAGCCCAGCCCTTCCCTCCACACAGTCAACCCTCACATACAATATCAGGAGCTGCCGCCCAGTCACAGAGACCCCCAATAATACACACTGAGCTGACCCCCACATCTTTTTTTTTTTTATGCCTGCCAACATATGCAGTGCACTGGTCCGGTCTGTCCTACATCCCATTCAGCTCTCATAATTGGGTGTTGAAGCCTAACTCAACCCACTGACTCCACCCTCCAGCCCACACTCCTGCCAGTGGATGCTACCACCTGTCTAGCCAGGCCCACCCCCAGTCCTGGTTCTTATGCTTACCAGTGGGCATTGCAGCCCATCAGAGGGGTGCCCACAGTTTCCCTGCTGGACCCACTCCTAATCCTGGAACTTGTACTCTCCAGGTGATTCTACAGTCTGGCTCCACAGGACCTGCCCCCGTCCTAGCACTTGCAAGCTGATGGTGTGGCAAAGCCGATCAGCCTGCCTTTATTCTGACTCATGTCTGCACCAGTGGATACAGTCAGTTAGCCCAGCCTGGCTCTCCCCCAACCCAGTTCACATGCAGGCCAACAGGTGATGTAGCTCTGCCCAGCCTCATCTTCCCTCAGTCCCAGCTCATTCTCAGCAAGAGTAGTGGCCCAGCAGGAGAGTCCTCACAGCTCCCCTACTAGGTTTGCACACCCCACCCATCCACCAGGTTTCATGTGTGCTGGTGGGCACTGCAGCCCAGTCTGGCTTGGCCCATCTCACCTTGGCATTTTCCAGTAGGTGCTGCTCCCAGTTCCAGCTTGCACTGGTGGGTGCTGCCGCCCAATATGACACAGCAGCCCCCAGTCCTGACCCTAACAGTTACTGGCTGGTGCTGTGGCCAGACCCAGCCTGTCCCGCACCCTGTCCTGGCTCTCAGATCTGCCAGTGGGTATTATGAACGTGCCCAGCCTGGCCCGCCCCCTGACCTAAGCCACACATATGCTGGTGAGTACTGTAACCTGGCCCATCTCTGAGCTGCTGTTTGCCTTGGTTCTTGGGCTCACCTGTGTGAGGACTGTGTCCTCACAAAGGAGTTCCCCAAGCTTCTCTATCAGATCTCCTCCCAGTGGCAGATCTTGTGCACATCGGCGAGTCTTTGGCCCAGATTGACTTAGTCTACCTCCTGTTGTGGCAGGAGCAGTGGCCTTGCCCAGCTGGCTTACGCTCATTCCAGTTTTTGCTTTTGGGAGCTACAGTCCAAATGTACCTGGTCTGCACCTAGACACAGCTCTCATGTGGCTCAGCAGAAGCTGAGACCTATCCCAGTCCATCCTGCACCCAACCTGTCTCTTATGAGCACCAGTGCTTGCTGGATTTGTAGCCCCAACTGGTGCACCCCAGATCCAGTCCACACCCATGCCAAGAGACACTACAGCCATGTCCAGTCAGAGCACTATGCCTATTCCAGCTCTTGTGCTCACCAATGGGAACCACAACCTATCTGCAGCATCCCCTTTGCTCCCCAACCAGGCCAATTCCCAGCCACAGATCTTGCATATGCCATTGGTTTCTCTGACCTAGCTCAGAATAGCCCATCTCCCATCTTGGCCTTTGCCATTGGATGCTGCAGCCTTGCCTGACCCAGCCGGATTTCAGTCCCAACCCTCACTAGCAGGTGCTACAGCTGAGCCCTGCCCAATCTGCTCCCATCGCTGACTCATTTAAACTGTTGGGTATGATAGCCTAACCCAGCATGACCTGTACTCCAACCTGGCTCCTGCATTTGTCATTGGGTTAAGGTTGGCTTGGCCCTACCCAGTCCGCCCCCATCCAAAAACAACCCACACACCTGCCAACAGGTCGAGTTACCCTGCTCAGCCTGACCAACACCCAGGCCTGAACTACATGCTCACCAGCAGAAGCTATAACCCACCATGGGAGTTTTCCGAGTTCCTCCACCAGGCTCACCCCCAGACCCAGATCCCACACATGCCAACCGATGCTAGGCCCTTACCCAGCATAATCTATGCCCTCCATCCTAATCTATGTATGAGGTGGTAAATGTTGCGGCCTGTCCCATCCCACACCCTACTCTTTGGTGTACATGCAGGTGCTGCAGTTTGGTGTAGCCCAAGCCTGTTCTGGTGCAAAAACAGACCCCGATACCCATGAGTGTTGGAGGGTTCCATGGTCATGCTTAGCTCAGGTTGTCACCATCCTCAGCTCTAAAGCAAACCAGTGGAAATTGCAGCTCCACAGGGGTGCTCCCAAATACACCCCCACAAAAGTCTGTTTTTAAAGGTGTATTTTATTTATTTCAAAGGTAGAGTTAGAGGAAGAAAGGCACGCTTCATCTGCAGGTTCACTACTAAGGTGACCGCATCAACCAGAGATGGGCCAGATTGAAGCTAGGAGCTTAAATTCTCCCCCACAGGAGTGGTGGGCCCCAAATTTTGGGACCATCTTCTGCTTTCCTGGGTGCATTAACAGGGATCTGGCTTGGAAGTGAAACAGCCAAGACTTGAACTGTGACCTGTATGGGATACTAGCATTGCAGGCAGCAGCTGCTTAACGCGCTGTACCACAGTGTCAGTCTCTTTAAATATACTTTTAAGCAATTTTGAACTGTGTAGTACACGAATATAAACTGTAGTCACTTTTCTGTGCAACTAATTTGGAAAACATTCTGTACAACTGGAACTTTGTATTCATTAGTTAACTTCTCCCAACTCACATTCCCAAGCCTCTGTTAACTCCTATTATACTTTCTACTTTGGTAAGTTTGAATTGTTTAGATTCCACATTTAAATGGAACTATGCCATATTTATTTTTCTTTACATTTATGCACTTATGTCCTTGTTTTCCACAGGGTTATAAAGCAGTCCAGAAGTATCCTACTTTCAAATCCTGCCTGAAAAAAGAACTTCATAGCAGATAAGTATGTTCACTTCTATTTGTCTAGTTTATTAAATAAAGGAATTACCATGATTTATTAACGTTTATGAATTGATGAAATAAATAGAATTCTAATTTATTATTTAGGCCATTCTAGTATCTTGATAGAGAAACTTTATCTTAAACTTGGAGTTTTGCACCAAAACAGCACCAAAACAGGTACCCTAGAGTAACTCCAAACCGTACTCTTTAAGCTAGGATCATTAGTGTTCAGGAGGTATCTGTATACTTGGGGGGATTGTGATTTGGGGCATGTACTACAAAAGTGGCAGCTAACATTTTTAGAATTACTTTAGTGCCTGGCACTATATTAAGTCTTCTTTCAAATGCAGAAAATCATGTAATTCTTACAGGTTGATGTCCCACTTAATCACAGAGAAAATCTAGTTTTAGCAAGTAACTTTACCAAGATAACTTCCTACGAGGTGGCAAGGCAGGATCTGAGCTTCATTCTGCTTGATGGCCAAACCATCTTCTTTTCTGCTCATTGCACCATCACAATAGAGTGCAATAGATGAGGAAGATTCACAATGAATCTTGAATTTATACTAATCTCCAAAGAGAGGAATTTTATTTTTTTTCTCTCTCTTTTTTTTAAGTTAGCTATAAAATTTTGGCAAATTGTGTGTTCTACTTAGTTAGATTTCTATAATGAAGGTTCTGTTGTTTGCTTATAAATGTACATATTTCTGGCTGTCTTCCTCAGATTTAAGGTACGTAGGTTCATATTTCCTAAAATGATTAATGCATATTTTTCTTGAGGAAAAAAGTTACTTATTCAACTTTGAGAAATGTCATAATAAAAATGGTTACATAACTTTCTTCCCATAGAACTTAGCAGATGTCAATCTGGTACTATTAATTTTTTTCTAAGAGGAAACTCCAATATTCAAAATTTTGCAAAGCCTTAAGATCTAGTGTTCTGTTCAGAGGTAAGAAGGTATATTTATTTAGCTAAGGTGGTGACTGTTGTGATGGTGGTGCTAGCAGAAGGAGTCATATCTTCCAAATCTCTAATTTAGGAACTTTAGGTTAATACGAGAATGTGCAGTAAACATTAGATTAAAAGGAGCATTTCCTTTCTATGTTCATGTAGGCAGTGTTCCCAAACAACATAATAAAACTCACACTGGCATTCGGGTTTATGAAAGTAATGAATAGAGCCATCACAGGTGACTTTCCTAGGCCTCGCAGAGAGTAAGATTTAAGATTACACAAGTGGCTAAACAGACTGAACATCTTACACAATTTTTTATGGTAAATTTTTGTTTCTAATGTTTTATACCAGATGTTTTGGTTGTATTAGTTTTGTGTAAGAATTTTGATTAATGCCAGAGCCTCTGAGTTGTGTCCTAAATATATATTTTGTATTATTGTGCTTTTTTTAAAATCAGATACTTCAAAAGCGAAGTGTAAAGGATTACTGTCTACAAGACAAGAAGAAAAAATTCCAAAAGTGGAAGCAGTGATGAGATCAGAACATGTAGAAAATGAAGAAAAAGGTGAAATACCATAAAATTAATATTTTTAAAGTACTTAATGAATTATGAAACATGAAACAGATAAAATGTATCTTCTTACTACGAATGTTATACACATATAATCAAGTTGAGCTTTTGCATTGATTTACAGAATTCTGTACTTTTTCATTCCCTTTAGAAGCATATAGATGCTTCTAAAACTATGTAAGAATGTATTTAAATACTTTTATTTATTTATTAGAAATCTGCCTTGTATCAATAATTTATGACTCATAAATTGAAGATAACCTATAAATGACAACACATTTTTTTGCTTTGGGGCTGTGTAACTTATTTTCAGAAAATATTGTTTTAGCTTTAAATTGTTTAAAATTGTTATTAAATTTTATTTATAAGGTTTTTAATTACCTTGAACTAATTTTAGAAGATAAATATAAATTAAGCTACTAAATAATATGATGGTTTACAGAGTACTTTTAACTTTTAAAAGTACTTCATTATCATATAGCTTGATGTATGTGAAGTTTTTAAAAAAAATTTTGTTCACTTACCAAAGTCAAGAGAATGCTATTCTTTCCTGTGTACAATACAGACATTGTTAAATGCAGATTTTTTTCTCTCTGAGAAAGTCGTAGGTAGATGGAGGTGCAAGGACTGTAAACGCTAGTGAGAGTTCATGTCAGCGCTGTCTGCGGCATGCTGCTGCTCTCCTGAAGGGGGGCTCCGTACCAGCACTGGCACCAACAGCATTTCACGGCTGTGTACCTGACTGCTCGCTGCTCTGACATGTCTGTAGTGCACAAACCAGTGTTTTCAAAGAATGGTTTCAAAGACTGATGTACATGATAGGCAGAAGCTAATGTTTTGTTTCTTGCAAAAGGACCACATGTAAAAGTGGTGCTGAGTAGTCAGTAATAGTTAATAATATTTGTCCTAAGCAGGAAAATAAAAACTTTCTGTGGAAAAACAGCAAAATTAGAATTCCACAACAAAAAAGAATTTGATGTTATGAAATAGAAATTTGTTCAATTAAAAGCACTTAGTTTAGGCTGCATACCGCAGTGGCACAGCACTTGACTACAGCAAAAACAGTTTAGTTTCTTCAAGGATAGTATATAAAAATAGAGCGGTAGATTTTTAATTAATTAATTAATATATTGCATGTGGAAGATAAATTCACTTATCTTCCTTTCTAAGACATATTTATTTACAAGTTACATACACTCCATGTATTATCTTGCTTGTTTTTAAAAGCTAATCAATGTGAAATTGATCTTTATCAGTTTATATATAAGTTATGTTATTTCCAAGAAAATGTTATATTACTGTTTTTTATTTGCTAGACTTTTTTAGATTCTATCCTTAATATAATTTCTTATGCTAACATACAAAAGTATGATTCATAAATTTAGCAATCCAATATATCTTAATAATTTAATTTCACCTGCTTTGAAGGTCAGTTCAGGTGACTGCCTAAATAGAAATGGCTGCCCATTTACTAAACATAAGTCTATTTTGACCTTACAATAAATATTATCAATTATTATTTGACATCTAGAATTTTAATGCTATTTACTTTTTATTTTTTGACTGTAATTTGTGTGATCTTGCTTAGATGCTTGCACTTTATCATTTATAAAGTGAAAGCTAAAATCTCACTGGACTGTTGTTTACAGCAATTTAAATTTTTTTTTAATACTTTAAAAATAATTTACTGACTTCATGTATATAATTATTTTCAGCATCCTCTAAATTGTTATTTGGAATTATTAGGATTTACATGAAATTTTAGCTTACACCTTATAGGTATTCATGTAATAAACAGCTTATGGTACTTCTCAAAATCATTTCCCAATAAGAAATTCATGTAACTAAAGTTCCAATTTATTGCTCTTATAAGTTATGATTATAAAGCAATCTGTATCACATTCTTATAATATCTTTAAATAAATATACCTACCCTTGAACCAGGAAATATTGTGCTTTGCTTTTATGTATCAATGTCTTGTGAAAAGCGTCAGTAGTTCCGAACGTGGGAAATCTGTGTGGATTACTGAGCTCCCAGCACTCGCATTCCTCTTCATGGTAATACCTGCTAGTGAGTAAGCAAATCCCAGATGCAGGAAGCCTCTCAGAGCAGACCTTAAACTTCTTATTACCCAGCACGGTCACTGGCACTGCAGACTCTCTCAGATCTACATGTAACTTAATGTGGTATCAGAATTGCTTAATGCAACTGGTGGTTTAAATTGCTTAGAATAATTGAACACAAACCACAGAAGTCCCTGTTACAGATGGTATTTTTTGGAAGCATGCTTAGAAAATTTCAGTTTTCTAAATAAATTAGTTATGATCCAACTTCTTAGAGCAAAGACATTTTTAAACAAAATAATCATTTTACTTTTGAAGTATTTAATGTATGTATGGATTGTACAGTATTTCAAGGAATAAAAATAATTGAAGTCATAAGAAAATCTTGTTTTTTGCTTGCTTTTTATTGGCAACATTTTCTTTTTTTTTTTACTTTCTTAGTAGCTCATGAAATTATGGAACATTTGGGGGACTGTCTGCAGTGCCAGCGTCCTCTATAGCCATGGGTTCGAGTCCTGGCTCCCTCACTTCCCAAGCAGCTCCTTGCTAATGTGCCTGGAAATCAACAGAAAATGGCCCAACTACTAGGGCCTCCTCCACTCATGTGGGAGCCCAGGATGAAGCCGCTGCTGCTTAATCTTTTTTTTTTTTTTAAAGATTTATTTGTTTTTAGTGGAAAGGCAGATTTACAGAGAAGGAGAGGAAGAGAGGAAGAGGTTATTGTCACAGATGAAATGCCATTCTCATTCCACAGCTGGTTCCATTCTCTTTGGAAATGAATAGACTCTTCTCTTTGTTCCCTACTACTTTAAAACTTCAAATTGATGTTCCTCGCTGAAGGTCTTTTACTCAGTGCTTGTTCCAGGCACTCAATAGTTCCTTTAATCTAAAAACTCACGGCATTCAGTTCTGGGGGGGAAAAAAACTGTAATTTTTTCTTTGAAGACCTTCTGCCTTTTTATTTTCTGCCTGGTTTGGTTTTTCTGTTTCCCGGATATTGGATTTCCCATACTCAGCCTGTGAGTTTTCTCTCCATTCCCTCTCTTTGTCCTTTGTACCTTTGAAAGATTCCGTCCCTTTGTTTACCATCTATTGAGTTTTTAAAGAACATTTTCTCTCAGTTTTCCCTTTTCATGACTCATGTTCATGTCACTGCTGTTTTCCTGTGTGAACAGCCTTTCTTGCTGCAAGTGTGAGTGGAGGACAGCTCCTGTTCGTAGGTGGCGTCCTTGACTCTGTCTCCAGCCTCTGAAAACCACTGGCTCATATTCTTGTTTCACATCCTCAAACATCTTTCATTCTCTCGGATTATTTGATGAGTTTCCTGGAAGGATTTTTCTGTTCTTTTTATTTTCCAGGGATAATTTGTTCCCTTGTTCTTTTGTGTTTATCTTTTGGGTTCCTCTGAGGTTTTTCTCAATCATGTGGTAATGCCTAGCTATGTGTTCCTAGGTCAAAACAAGTGGGGACCCAGCGTGGTAGCCTAGTGGCTAAAGTCCTCACCTTGCACATGCCAGGATCCCATGTGGGCACTGGTTCTAATCCCAACAGCCCCACTTCCCATCCAGCTCCCTGCTTGTGGCCTGGGAAAGCAGTAGAAGACAACCCAAAGCCTTGGGACCCTGCACCCTCATAGGAGACGCAGAGGAAGCTCCTGACTCCTGGCTTTGGATTGTTTCAACTCAGATCATTGCAGCCACCTGGGGAGTGAATCAACAGAGATTTTTGTCTCTCCTTCTCTCTGTGTATCTGCCTTTAAAAAAAAAATCTTTAAAAAAATTGGAGGCCCTGTCTGAATGGGTTTCCCTCTGCTGTTCTGACTCAGCAGCTGCAGCATGAGGAGTGCCGGTTCTTGCTCTTTGCTTCTCCTGCCTCTTAGTTCAGCCATCCCAGTGCGGTATAGGAAAGACATATTTAATTCATGCTTCTTTTGAGCTCCACCTTGAGCTGTGGTGTTCTCCCTGTCCATAAAATACCTGTAATCAGGAATTTCTTGCTGGTGCATATGAGAGAGGGAAGGAGGAAGAGGCAGAAAGTATCCTGAAATCTAGAAGCTTCCTAAACAGCATTGCAGTTAGACAGGGCCGCTGATCATGGCGACTGCATGCGTTTAATCATTTAAGTTCTCGTTGGTCTGTAAAGTTGAGATTAAGCTACATTGTCTATCTATCTGTCTGTCTGTCTGTCTGTCTATATTTGAAAATCAGAAAGAGACGGTTTCCATCCCCAAACACCCACAATAACTGGGGCTTGGTCGAACTGCAAACAAGAGTCTAGGACTCAATCCAGGTCTCTTATGCGAGTGGCAGGAACCCAAGTGCTGGAGCCATCCTCTGCCGGTCCAGGCTGAGCACAGGCAGGAAGCAGAGCTGAAGCCCCAAGCCAGGTGCCCCAGTATGGGACGCTGGCATAGCCAGTGTGCCAAAACCTGCCCTAGATTCACAAATTGAGTTACTGCACTTTCCTCTCGGACTTTTTTTTTTAATCCCTGAGAAAGATTTGTTTTTAGAAATATCCTGACATTTTAGTGTTCAGGAAGGAATGGGGAGGAGGGCTATATATGTCCAAAAGAATGTATAAACTCTGGTTCTTGAATGCATATATTTGGGAATACCCACAAGGTACTTCAGAATGATGGCATTTGAAGATAAGGCCATAGTTACACTTCATGAGGTGTAACTAAACTACTCGAATGTTTTTGGCATGTATGTTTCCTTTTTTTTTTTTCCTAAGAAAAACGTATTTTTTCCTGGTGGCCAAACCTGGGACTTGGAAGTCAACCCAGATCTCCCTGTGTGAGTGTCAGGAGCCCAGTTACTTGAGCCTTCGCTGCTGCCTCCCAAAGTCTCTGTTATAAGTGAGGATTTGGAGCCAGACTCCGACGCAGGTACTCCAATATGGGACATGTGCATCTATACCACTAGGTCAAACACTTACTCCAAAAAAGCATTTTTCTTTAAAATTCGAAGTCTTACTAGGGGAAAAGCAGGAGGGAATCATGAAAGTGTGTGTTGAGTGGATCTCATCAGCAAACCAGAGTTAGATTCCTTCTTGGAGCAGAGAGAATGTTAAGGTAAAAGAGTAATGGTGGTGATGAACTTGAAGAACTAGAGCATGGTTTA